CACGATTGCTTGTGATCGTGCTGTTTGTTGTAACCGCTATCGCCCATGATCTCCTTTGTATAGTGGTGAATGTTGATAACTACTGGTAACCGCTTTTGGATTTTTCAATACTCCTATCTTTCGAGTATTTCTGAGAGAAACCTAGAAAACTCTTTTAATGTTATGGCCTTGGAATAGTTTCTTCTTGACTTCTCTTTTCGAGCCATTCTGGAGTTTTGAGAGTCTGTCTGGGTCTTGTGGACTTAGAATATTTTCTTTGTTCATTTCTGTTTTTCGAGCAATTTTGGAGGGACTCTTGAGCTCGACCAGATTTGTGGACTTAGAATATTTTCTGACCACTTCTTGTTTTTCGAGCAATTCTAGAGGAAATCTGGAACTCAGCTAAATTTGTGGACTTAGAATATTTTCTTACCACTTCCTGCTTTTCGAGCAGTTTTGGGTGTCAGGTACTTGGAAACTCATCAAATATTCCTCGAAAAGCCATCAGTTTTTTGTGGACTTAGAATATTTTTCTGTTAGTCCTGTTTTTCAAGCAGCTTTGGGTGTCAAGGACTTAAAACTCCTAAAAACTCTTCGAAAAACCATCAGTTTTGTGGACTTGGAATATTTTCTTGTCAGTTCTATTTTTCGAGTAATTTTTGGTGTCAGTGACTTAAAAACTCCTCAAAACTTCTCGAAAAAGCCTTTAGTTTTGTGGTCTTAGAATATTTTCTTGTCTTTCAAGCAGTTTAGAGAAAAATCAATAATGTGACAAAAATCTCTTAAAATAGCTCGAAATGTGTTCCTTTTAATTAAAACCAAAGATCTTCCAATATTCTCTTATGTTCAGGTTTATCTTTGGCTCCTTCTTGACCCTCAAAACTTGTTGAAATGTAGTTTCCTTCAAGATGATTTTTAACTTAGAAAATTTTCCTTATCCTAAACAATTGTTTAAAAATGATTGTTGAGGATTGCATCAAAATTCCATCTTTAAATTGAGTTTCAGTTAAATCAGTGGATATAATTTTTCTCATTTTTAATGGTGCAATAATTTTTATTGAATGTCTTAAACTATTATTTTAATACCCTTTCTTATATGAATTTGAATCTCCCTTATAATTTTTTTAATAAATTTCTTTGTTTATAGAAAAATAAAATTAGAATAACATTAATTAAGACGAACAACATTGTATCAAATATTTTACAGGAATTTATACTCAAATCAAAGAGCAAGGAATCCCCTCATCAAAAACCAGTTCAAGAGCGCATGCACATACCATATTATGAAGCCCATTATAGAAATAAAATCAAAATTGAACATCACTAAATAGAAATATGCTATTATACAGGAGAAACCATAAGTATCAAAACCATACATAGAATCTAAAAACAGTAAATAATCTAAATATGAAATAACCATAAAAGCTCTCTCCAATAAACGTGTAAGCCTAAAGGTTAATTTCAAGGACGAACAGAGTTAATGCACTTTGTAGTTGAATTTAGGGTTCGAAATCCACGTAGATTATTCCTTTGTCGGGCTTAAGTGGCTGAACTTTTACTAAGGAATTTTTCTTTCCACTCTTTACCTTCAACTCTAAACCCATTAATTTGATTCCACCACTTCTGATAATGACATTTGGGTTGCTGCCAGAAAATAAATCATTCACATCTTAGTATGATGACAATTATTTTATATACATGAATTTCAACATCCTCATCCACTACGGCCTGATTTCCCGAAGTAAAACCCATGAATAGTTCTTAATGTTTTGTGGTACTTAAAGTATTATTTTTTAAGGCAAAGAACACTAATTTGGTTTCATATGCTTTATAAAGATGATGAAATATCAATACTAAGCTATGAAAATAAAATAAAATAGAACAAGACATTTAAAAGGTATTTATTACCAAAACATAACTAAATTTCTAGATAAATATATCCTGCTAAAATTTAATTAAATAACAAATAATATCTTTAAATATTTAACATATCTGTATTTATTAATATTTGAATTTGAAATCACGTATTAAACTAGAATAATTTTCTATTAGTTTATCTACGTGCTCAATAATATTTAGGCATATATAATCTTAATAAACGTAATGTATTCTTAAAACAAATATATTGGCAAAGATATAAATCTTAAAAATAAAAAAATATTAAATAAAAAATACTATAAAATTCTAAAAAAGTACTAAAAAAATTACTTTGACATGCTTGTGTCATTACTTGAAAAACAATATATTATATTCTTACACAATGAATATCTATAAGTAATACATATACAGAGTTATGATTTATTAACAACAAATATCAAATTTAAATATTAATACTACTTAATAATTTTATTTATAGAATATAAGATTGATTATTTTAACTATTAAATAATCTTAATTATTTTCATATATTAAATTTTACATATTTTAGATATTTGTAAGTATATTATTCAAAATTTAATATACTTGCATTTAAAAAAAATATTATATGTTAAAATAAAGTAATATAATAAAATATTTATTTATTTATTTTTATATAAAATTTTATAATATTGATCTGCTTGATAGAACTTTTAAACTAACAATTAGATTAATTAATTTTATATTCTATTAAAAAGTTATCAAGTGGTGTAAATATTTAAGTTTGACACCTAATAAAATTGAAACTCTTAATAATTATGTCAAAACAATTTGGATTAACCAATAGAAACCTAGTAAATTAAATTAACACGAACAAATTTATAAAAAAAATAAAGTAAACAAATACAGTACAATTTTTTAATTTTATTTTAGGAGGTTAAAATCACAGTACATTTTACAAATTAACTTTAGATATATTCTTTACTTATTCAGTGTCGAAACAAAACTTATTTATAACAACTTTATCTATTAGTAGACAAAATAAAATAAAAAATCTAAAGACATTTTTATTTTTATTTTTGATGGAAGACATTTTAAATTTGATCCAAGATTAGTGGTAATTATTATAAAAACAATTTGTAGATTGTGTTTCGATACATTGTATGTTTGCTTATAAACATCTTAATATTACGGCTTAATTGCTTTCTTATCCTTTTTACTTTAGGATTGTTTGATATTAGTTTAATTGCACGATTTTAATTTTGTTTATTTTGTTCACTCTATTAATTTATCATCCGATTGTTAACTATATTTGATGCAGTGAAGGTGGTGGCAACCAAAATTCCTAAACCATCCCTGCCAATCTGCCATTAAGTTGTATTCCATTGCTAATGATATTTGCTAAAGTGAAGGTGAAAAGAGACTAAGGATAATATTTAATTAACTGATAAACATTAATTGTTTTGGTTTCTAAAATTAGAAATTTAATTAACTGATCGATGCGTGAGTAATAAAATAACTAATAAACGTGACCAAAATGATTAATAGTTATCAAAGTGGTGAATTAAATTGACAGATTCATAATGTTGAAGATTACAATAACCGGTATTTACTGATTTCAAGAGTTAAAATTTCGTTTTCATTATTTACTTGACGCGTTTGTCTGAATCGATATCTGTGTCTTCCGTGTAAATTGTCGCGTTGAGTGTATCTCTTGTTGTCTATTGCTGTAACTAATCTGAAAGTTAAATAGAAATTAATCCTTGTTCACCAAGAAAATAAATTCAAAGACTAGCATGTGATTATGAACTTGAAAAAATGGTCCCTTTATCATGGTGGCATTATTCAAAGAAGGGTTTCATTTTCTCATTCTTTAAAATATTTGGCATTTTAATTTTAAAATTATTTTAATTAAAAATATTAATTTTAAGTCTTTATCGCTGTTAAATAATATGGCTAACTCATATGTTGTTATTTGTTATTTTTTTATGTCATGTATTGTTTTTTGTGAAGTCATATTATTAGGAGAGACCAAAACTGATAGTTTTTAAAAAACGTAAGAACTAAAATAATTATAAAAAGAAAAATGAAAATATAATATATTTTGTGAAATTAAAAACATAATTAGCTATAAAAAGAAGGGGGTAAAAATATGTCTAAAGAAAAATCAATAGCAACACAGAACGAGGGAATGCGGTGAATATACGTGTCTTTTCTTTCACCTTTATGTAATGGAAAACCCATTAGGTTTACTGAACTCTACTGGGAATCCTATAGTTAAAGTTCGAAAGTGCTTTTATTATGATTTTTAAATTAGATGCACTTTTCTGGTAATTTCTGATACCCCACTTTGCAAGATGCAGTGCCAAGCAACGGAACATGATTTTTGAAGTCTATGGTTATTATTATTATTTTATTTTGATAAGGAAAGATTTGGTTGTCTATATATTTATCATTCCCTGTGAGTGGTTAAAGTTATTTCATCCGAATCCATTAGAAGAATAATAGCAGATGTATTGTGTGTGAATTTATGCCAGTATCTTTATCTAACATTTAATTATTACACTGTAGATGCCCATAATGCCATTACGATATTCTCCAAATTTTAGATAATCAATTAGTTTTAAGTCATAGTATCGGACTGTTTTTTTAACCTCTTATGTGACCCATCTAGCTTTATTGCTGAAGTTGTCCTCTAGGGTACTAGTTTTAATCTCTTATTTATGATTCATCTAAGTTTAGTTGATTTAGTTTTCCTCTTTTTTCTTCTGATTCTTTTGCATTTCATTTAAATTCACGTGAAGACAACATTAGACAAATCTTTTTGTTTGTTTATATGTACTGTACTTCGTTAATGTCAATTCTTATTGTTCATTCTTATCCTTTTTTCAAGAATAATTAAATAGCTAATGACCTTGCACGGTAGCATTTAGACAATTAGATTCAAATCTTATACCTGAAGCCATCCGGGAATATAAAAGAGAATTTTATGCCACAGGCTCGATTTGGCATTACTATTGTAACCTTTGCAATCTTCTCTCTTCCCTCTTCCATTTGGTGCTCCTTAATAAGGATGAACTTCCAAAGAGTTCTATGTGTTACCTCACAAATTTTAACATATATCCATTAGTCCTTCTTACCTCCCAACTTCAAATTTTGTGTCAATGAATGAAAACAAGATTGATTGGGGGGGACTGATTCAACAAAGTCATGGACTAAATGGGGATTTCATTTCTGAGTTTGGTAATCATTATTGTCAATATTTTGATATGAGACAGCCTTGGAATATGGGACCACTTGCTATGGCTGGAGGAGGAGGAGGAGGAGGATCAGAACAGTTACCAAACATAGCTTCTGCCAAATCATCTGGCACTATTATGAGCCGTTTTGAGTCACCAACTTCTGCCTTTTATGCTGCAGAAAATTGCATGGGATTTGCAGAATATAATTGCCAAGTTGGTATTAATTCTTTGAGCTCTCAGTTATATAAGATTAATGATTTGGAATTCCCCTTGTATCAATCTCCCAGGGAAAGCCTTTTCGTGGATCCAGCAAACCAACCTGACTCAAACTTTGAGTTGTCAAACACTTTACAAGCCATAGTGAAATCTCAATTGAATAATAGTCAATGCTGTAGATCACCAGAAAAGTCCAACAAAATTTCATGTGGGAATTTTCCTACCATGTTCCTTCCAATTGATCACCAAAAGTTGTTCATTGACGATGTTACCTCAGTTAAAGGGAGTTCATCATTTCATAACAAAGGAAATCAGGACCGTAAAGTAAGTACTTTTATGCAAATCCCATAGATTTTGTCATGTGTCCATTGTTTGAAGATTCAATTGGCTCGTATTATCGCATCTATCTGCAGGTTGCTTGTGCATCATATAATTTACCAGTTTCACAGCTGAGTTTCTCTTCCCACAATGAGAAATTGTCTCCAACACTTTCCGCAGGAAGTGTGTCATCTACTTTTGGAAACTCTGCTTCAAATGGGACAGTAGTCTCAAGTAAAACACGTATAAGATGGACTAAGGATCTTCATGAGAAGTTTGTTGAGTGTGTCAATCGCCTTGGGGGTGCTGACCGTAAGTAACTCAACTAAGTTTATCAATTGGCTTACATATATACACCTAATTTAACATCTGATAGTCCTCTATTGGTTCCTTGACTATAGAGGCAACACCAAAAGCTATATTAAAGATGATGGAGACAGATGGTTTGACTATCTTCCATGTCAAAAGTCATTTGCAGAAATATAGAATTGCAAAATTCATTCCGGAGGCAGGTCAAGGTAATTTCTATTTTTTTAAAACCGTAATTACAGTGTAGTTTCTTTTTCATGTCATGTACTATTCTTTCTTGGTGCTTGAATTTACCAGCATTCATGTCATAAATAACGAGCAGATGTCAAGGCTGAGGAAATAGGCTTCTTTTTTTCCCTTCGGTTTTGATTCATTAATTATTGTTGAGAGTTGAGACTTGAATAAACAAACTAAAGCAGATTGTTCAGTTTTAATGTCTTTGGTTAGTAAACTTCAAGTGAACGAAGTTGAAATGCTGAATAAATGCATTAACATTCATTAATATGGTAAAAAGTTTAAGCTGCAAAATGACAAATATAGTCCATTTTATCCTCCTGATGAGTGATGATAGCAACCTTAGTCAAACTACCAATGCTTGTTAGGTGAAATTATCTCTTAAGGATATGTCTGACTTGCTTTATTCTTCTCTCCAGTTATTCATAATTTTCTATGCTGGCTTTGTTCTTATATTCTCTCAATTTATCAGGTTCACTCCCCATACTGACCCTAAAAATGTGTCCTGTTTCAGGGAAACCTGACAAAAGAATCCATGCAAAGGATGTCCATCATCTTGATGTCAAAACGTAATTCTACTTCTTTTGCTTAAATCACTGTTACACTTACATCCCTATAATTCTAGTACTTCCATTTAATTGCTAAGTTTGTTTCATATTCACTTCAGATGTTGTTACTCTATAAATCTGTTAAATTTACTCTAGTCTTCAATTGCAGTGGCTTGCAAATTAGAGAGGCACTTAAGCTTCAATTAGATACTCAAAGGTGTCTTCATGAACAACTTGAGGTATATCCTTGCTATTATTTTCTCTTATGACTTTTATTTATGCTAGCATATTTCCATGTTCTCCCAAGTCCAGACCTTTCAAGTTCTTACATGGTAATTTTTGTGACCCCTTCACTTCCTATAAAAAGCTTTAGTATTAACCAAACCAGTTGAAAGGTTCTTGATTCTAGAAATGATGCAGAGATTTTCATCACAGAAGAACAATGAGGTTCAGTAGTCTCACAAGCTCAAACTCTAACCACAACTTTTAAAATAACGTATCAATTTAGCGAGCAAAATATCATATATTTAAAGGCTTTAAGATATCTCTTCCTATTTGCAGTTTAAGCTTCCTATAATTCAAGACATACTCAACACTTAGCATGTAATTTAGTTGAAATTTCTCATGCAATTTAGTTTTCTGTTGACATAGATGGTGATGTGAAATTATTCTATCATGTGCTAAAACAGGATTAATGAACGTTGAGGAGAACGGATGCTAAAATCAATGAATGAGTTAAGATAGTTGGATTCTTGTGACACTTTAATTTCCTAATTTCATTTAACTTTCTTGGTCCAGATTCAGAGAAAATTACAGTTGCGAATAGAGGAACAAGGCAGGCAGCTGAAAAAAATGTTTGACCAACAGCAGAAGACAAGTAATGACCTCTTGAATACTCAGACTATGGCCAATGATGATACAACAAAGAGACATAAAGATGTTGATGTTTCTATTTCTGAAGGGGCTTGAAATTCATCTTCCAAATCCTCTCCAAGCCCTTACTGCGAAACTTGTGTACAAAATTACAATAATCAAAAAGCTTACTCCTAAGAAACAGATAAGCCACACCATGTGATTTTGTTATATGAAGAATAACACTGTTGTTGATCCTCAAATGCAAACTCTGAATTAGTACAAAATTCAGTGTGTTTTCATAATATATTCTACAGAAAGCAGAAACATTGTATTAATTTTCATATAGAGAGCTTAATCAGTTTCAGCAAGGTGCTATTGTATTGCTCTTTCTGCATTTCTTTTATCTTTCAGCATACACAGGGAGCGAGCACTATTGTACTTAAGGTGTGAAAAAACAGAACTTGATAATTTCAATTTTCACTTAATTAGGGTCGCATTAAGGTGCATACAATTTTAACCAAATGCCAATCTGATTTAATTACCGAACCATAAATAATTGATTTAGACTATTTTAATCACTTAAAAAGATAAATAATGCAATTAAATATGAATTTGGTTTTAATACACCGTTAATATAACTAATTAAAATATATAAAAGCTATATCTTTTAAATCAATCATTATAAAACTTAATGATTTTGATTGATATGATAATTTATCATTAAATAATAATGTTTAGTATATTTTAATTAGATTCTTTCAATATTTAAATAATTTATCTAATGATTTAAACTTTATAGTGTCACGTTACTGGGACTCAAGAGGTTGGAATCTCCCGTTATTTTATGCCAAGTAACAGCAGAAAAAGATGGGCACCTCCAAATTTCAACTTTTCAACCAATCCTTTTAACTTTTTTTATTTTAACTTTTAGCCTGCCAATTGTATGGTTCGGCTAGCAAAATTGTAATTGTTTTGTAAAGTGATTCACAGCTTAGGGTTCAATTATACTTCTATTGTTATTCTGCTTTGAGCTGTTTACTTTTTTGCAGTTATTTTTCATTTGATATTTAAATAAGGAAAAAAAACAATTATACAAAGATAGATATTTAAATTTTTAAGGAAAAAGTATGCATACTTAAAAAATTATAGACCGAAATTGTTTGCTTGTTGCATATGCATGATTTGATATTATCGATTCTTTGTTTGAGGAGTGTTAATAAGTACGAAAATATCCAACAAGAACTAGTTACAAAATATGTATCATTATTTTATTAATTAAAAGTAAAAAAAAGATAAAAATACGTTTTATACAATTTTCATTCAGATTCATACAAAATGAATTCGTACTATTATTGTTAAAATTTACTAAATGGACACATCCTAAGAAATTTGTTTATCGTTTACGTATCTCACTTTATGTAAAAGTCGCATATCGAGAGGGAATAAGGCACTGAATTAGAAGTTGAACTTAATTGATATTGAGACACAGTATCGTTATATCAATTACAACTATTTACTTATAATAAAGACTATGCATTGGATATAATGAAATATTATTCAGCTTAGCAAACATTAAAATGAGTTGTTGTTAATTGATTGGGCGAGGCTTTAAATCTGCAAGTTCTTGAAAAGAACGGAATCTTTGAGTCTTGTTTTTAATAAACCGTGACATGAAGGCCGTCCTTGCTTGGCATTTCGTTTTTGGAGCTACGTATGTCGACCTGTACTAGGGTTCTATACTCTATTCTCTATTCTCTATTCTCTAGAGCTATTGGGTACGTAACCATTCTAAAGGAGAGCAAATGCAATTTCTATACATAATTTAATAACCACTAGAAGATATATTATTATCCTATAGTTTGTATTGTATGGGAATGGGACTCTCTTCCGACTGAGTACAATGGTTTTAAGCAATTGGTCTTAGAGACACTTTTGGAAACATATGAACAATAAATTATTAATGTGTTGGAAACGGAGACCCAATCTGAATGATTGGAAACTTGGAATGGTGGAATCTCAGAAGGTGTTTTGGCTGAATCTGGAATGCAACTTGCTAATTCCATCGCCTCCACAAAGGTAGCTTGTGAAATTCAACGTTGGTGATATGAGAATGACGTGCATGCCAAAGCCATAACCGTGACAGCTTAATCATAGTTATAAAAAGTTGGAAAGTGACCTTATTCTTCGTCTTTATAAGATAAGAGTTACATGTTAAATCAAGTTCTTTAAGAACCTTACATATAGCATGCATATTATCAAAGATGGATCCAGAAATTAAGTGATAGGAGACCGAAATAAATAAACTTTAATGTATAAATTATATTTTTAAAAATGTCTTCGAAATATTAGTGGTCTGATAAATTTTATATTTTAAAAACTATACTATATATCAAAATAAAGTTGTTCTGTCAAATAGTTTTAAAATTTTATAAAATTTGATAAACAAATTTTTAAAAAAATTGTTTCAATTAAAGTAATTTCACTGCTGCGATGAAGAACACAGTGGATATGCGGAAAGCTTTGCAATCAGATAACAATCATGTGCTATATGGTCAACAGATAACAATCATTTACATTATGTATCATAGACATGCTGTTTGTTCTCAAATCTCAAATATTATTAATATGTCACTATAACATACTATTACTACAGAGTATAGAATAATCTGAATTACAATTAGATGTCGCATAAATATTTCACTCTAAATTTCCAATTGCCTGGCGACCATTTTCAAATTGAGGAATCATGAGAGCTTCAATTTGGGGGCAAAGGAGGATTCAAGAATAATTAGAAATAAGATACATTCAAGTGAAGGAAAAAACAAATGAAGTATTATAAGTTTTATTTTAATTTTTTTAAGAGTTTAACAATGTTATGGAGCTTATTAAATAAATTAATATTCGCATACCGTAAAAAATAAAATTTAATTCACTGTATCTATTATGATTTTGGAATATAAAATCTATCAAGACTGAGAAAAGTAAATAGGATTTGTTATTAATTCATCAGCGTGGGACTTTAGCCTTAGGTTTGTATTCCTTTTCTTTTTTTTCAAGTTTATTTTTGTATGCTTAACTTTATTTATTTATTTTGGGCATTCATTATTTTTTCAAATTTTTAGATCTAGTCTCTGGTGCTATAATTTATGGAATATGGGCTCAATCTAATATTGAAAAAAGAGAATAAATCATTTTTTATTTTTAAATTTGAAGTTTAATATTATATTAATATTTTTGAAATATTAGCTCAATCCAATATTGGTGGGCTTGAATTAATCACTTATCTAAAATGCTTTAAGAAATTTTAGAGTTAAACCATCTTAGTTATGTATCCTTTTATATTTGATTTAGTGTTAATCCACTGATATTGAATTCTTTTTATCTAAACAGGATCTGTTAACGAACAACTAGACTTGAACAGATTTATCCATAGATGTTTCTGTTCAGCTATTGCTTCATTTTTATTTGTGTCATATATGTGCATATTCTCTGGGTTATGTCCTGTCATCTCAATTTCTTCACTGTTATTGATCTTTTCTGTTTTCTTGTCTTATGCAGTTGTGTAGTAAATGATTCTGATCAAGAATCGTTAGTGTCGACATTTTTTCGTCACTGTCGTGCCATGTGTTTATTTAATCATTCTTTTGAAATTATGTGGACATATGAATTTGTCCATGTTCTCAAATATCATGCAACGAAAGGTTTCGTATGATGTGTATAGGGAATCTCTGAGTCAAATATATATAAATTACCCAGTGTTTTGAAGATTACTGTCTTGTTTTCTTTTTGTTTTGGGAGAAAGGATTTGAATATGACTTTACTTACAAATGAACTGTGGTAATTAAAATAATAACTAAACTACATTTTCTTTCTTTCTTTTTTATAGATTCATGTTTATATTGTAGTTTTCTTTCCTTTTATTTTAAAATATACATTTTCTTTATATTAAAGGAGGTTAAAGTATACTTTATATTCAATTCTTAATAAAAGGAAGTGTATATTTTAATATATAAAAAAAATTGTATTTTAAATCTTTCTCAAAAAAGAAGAAAGTAATTTAATTATTGACAACATTATCCTATGCAGGAGTTTAAGCTAATTAACTTGGAGAGATGGTTTAGCTTTGTAATGGAAATTGTATAAATAATACTAGGATTATTTTATTAACTTATAATATATATTGATTTGCACTCAAAGGTGTTATTCTATTTATCTTTTATATATAAGAAAAAAGACTTTTTTTTTTATTAAACTGAATTGAAGTTTCTTCAAATGATTGATCAGTATCAAAATAAGCCTTGTATCGGCTAATGAATCCATTAAAATTAGAAGCAAACATTAACTTTATATTATTATTGTTGTTGTTGAAGAATTGTGTTTATTTCACTGCAAAGAGAGATTCAATATACATTCTACCTCTATTTCTTTGAATCTTTTTATCGTAGACAATTTCTTTGATTATTATTTATTAAGTAAACGAGGAAGCATAAATAAACTAATAATGAATTATTTCATATTGTTAATGTACATTGCATGTGATTGAGTGTACGTCTAAAACATAAATCAGAACTTTTTAATTAATACCATAAAATATTTATTATTTTAAAAATATATAAGTAAGTAATTGTTTATAATAATAAATGCATTCATTTTTAATTATAACTTATAAAAATGTAAATCATATGATAAATAGTTTTAAAAAATCGTCATCATGGATCCTGTTATGTGTAAATTAATATTATATGGTTACATGCATTTATCAAAAAGAAAGTTTTTTCTTATGACTTCGTTTATTACTAAAATGCAATTATACATACTAAAGTATCAAGATGATCCTAAATCACTTAACAAACTATTATGTATCTAAATAGTTCATTAACTTACTATTAACTTTATTTCTTATCATATAATATTTATATGTAGGGTTCTATTTGAATTATTATCAATGATTACCTATTTTAAATTTTAAAAAATCTATTTGTTTATCTAATTGAATATTTAGTTAAAAATTAAATTTTGATTTAGTAAAAAAAATTAAACTCAAACGTTTTCTGCATTGTCATACAACTAATATTTTAACAATACATTGCTCCAACTAAAAACATTACATGATACAGACACTTCATTCAAAATTATAAAGTAAAAATCAAACTTTATGTTATTGTGAATTATATAAGTAAAATCATATTGCTATATTTATGTGCATACCCACGCCACGCATAATGAAAAGTATCACATACTTGACAAATAGAACTTGGAATATTAATTTTGTAAAATAAATATTTTAAATTTAATTTGTATACTTTTTATTTTATATTTTATAATGAATTGAAAATTATTATTTTTAAGTGAAGTAAATTATTTAAGCTAAACAGACTCCTTCGCTCTGATTTCTCTTCGTATGAATAAATAATTAAAATATATATTCCTTCCCTAAAGTCAATGTTCTTCGAAAATGCATATAATTTTATAAACAAAGAAATAATATTTCTCTTAAAAGGCATAACTTCAATATTTTTAATTAAATCGTTAAAATTAATATCTACATGATATTATATATCATTTTTTATCCTTTTTAGACACATATTTAAAGAATATATTTTAAACATAATGAGTATGCTTAAAGAAAAACATATTAACTATATAGATTTTCAAAATTATACCCTTTCCTTTCCGATCATCAAAACTAGACAAATCAGTGACTTGCTCAGATTCATATACCCTTGTCACTGCATTATATTCTCTTCAACAAAAAGATATCTACCATATTAACTATATAGATTTTCAAAATTATTATGCTATGCCCAATACTAAACTTTCTCTTCTCTTATATTCTTTTCTGATATTTCCTCCGGCCAATCCAAAGTGATGCATTTCTGTGCTTATTGCTGCTGAGTCACAATAGATTAAACAATTCGTCGGTCTTCTTTAAATTAAGAGCTAGTGACTATTAGATTCTCCATGGAGCTACAATGCATGCTATCTTTCATAGGTCAATGTATATAGCCAAATTTTTGTCTTGGTACATTGATAAATTGCCTTTGTATGAGGACACAACTATGTCTCTATACATTTTCCAACTTTTGCTCATTCTCTTACTATTATTTTGTTCTTGATAAGGTTTATCATTAAAATATTAATAAATAATAAATTGTTATTAAAAGTCGCATTTAGAAATATTAAAAATTTAGCAAGTAAATGTGTTTTTTATTAATAAAAAATTACTTTTAATTCCTTAACAAATTTTTAAATATATTGATTAGCATTTGTTTTATTAAATTTAGGTGTAATTTCTTAAATATTTTTTGTGCCGGTATCTAAGTTAAAATTAGAGTTTATTAGATAAAAATTTCACGTTTAAAGTTATCATGAATTACTAAACTAAAACTTTAATTTTAATTATAAAATAACACTAAAACACCAAAAAAAACTACAACTAACTTGTCTTTTTTTTTTCCTCACTCACATACACCCCATTAACTAAGAAATATTCGAAGTCATGTAAATGTATATATATATATATATATACATCCCATTAACTAGGTTAGGTATATAAATGAACATCACAGCAGTGAAGTAACTAAATTTGCAGAAGAGTTTTAGGATAGGTTAATAGAAGCATGTATCATGAATGTAGTCCCCGAATGTACGGGACTCAATGGGAATACTACAGGGGGATTAGCAACTTATCCAAGGTTGTTGGATCAGAACAGAGTTTTGAGCCCTCAAAATCATCCTCCAACATTGTAACAATTCCTTTTCAAACTCCACCAGGTTTTTGTCCAAGTACAGCCAAAGGCCTTGAGAGCTTTCAAGATCAAGAACATAAACATGATCAGCATCAGATTGAAGTTCCTTCTTGGTGCTTTGAGTTTCCAAAGACAGCAACAGATCTCGGAGATAACTTCACCAATACTACCACTAAACAAGATCAACCCACTTCTCAATTCACTAGCTCCTTGTACCCGGTTGCTGAATCTTACCTGTCTAGCAGTGCAGATTGTAATTCTTGTTCTGAAAATTATAGTAAATTTTCTTCTTGTTCTAAAAAACACAGTGATTTTCAGCCAGACAATATGCCATATTACGATCATATTTCACAAGAACATGATAAATTGCTGAGGGATGATGCTGCCACAGATGAGAGGCCCTTCGAAATTTCCTTTCAGAGAAACCAGGTTTTCACTTTTTTATTTTGTGACATATAGTTTCTGATTCCATTTACATTATACATGATTTGGCATGACGTTATGTCTTCTTTTTCTTAACAAAAGAAAGAGTAAAATGCATTTTACATTTTAACTTTGCCTGGTTAAGATGAAATATTATTAATCTTCCCTTGGTACAGAAATTCTTAAATAGGCATGATTTATTATAAACACTCAAAATTAATTGTTGACATATATGAAGTGTATGGACCCCATTAAAAATAAACATGTGGCTAATGAATACATTTTTTCTTCTTTTTGCTGATGAGATGTAATATATGCCTTTACTAGTTACCATCATGTACAAAACTAGAAAAGCAGGTTCTTCATCGACCTTGTGGGGTTGCATGTGGCAATTCCAGCAACTCTGCTTCTAGGAGAGGTAAAAGAAGAATAAGATGGACCAAAGATTTGCATGAGCCATTTATGATGATTGTTAATAGTCTTGGTGGTCCCGAAAGTAAGTTAACTAAGTAATAGTATTTGTTACACATAACAACAACAAAATTATTGTTACCCAGTACATGATTTATTCATTATTATTCGCAGAAGCAAAGCCTAAGGCTATACTAGAGATGATGAAATCAGATTTGCTGTCCATTTCTCATGTTAAAAGTCATTTGCAGGTACTAAACTATTGCTATATCGTTCTTAAACTTTTTTATGCATAGCCTTTTACTATTAATTGCCTTCTAATATTTCTAATAAAATTGCCTTGCAGAAATGTAGGTCAACAATACAGATACCCAAAGCTTTGCTGGGTAAACTACTTCTGTCATTGTGCATACTTCATAAAATTCTACTATATAGACACTCGAACAATATCACAACCTATTTGACACATGTTATCTCTTATCTTTTTTTTTTTTTTCCTATCATATCATATCACTCGTCACATCTATTATTTTTTTCTCTTCTCTTCCTATCTCCGCGTCTATATCATGAGGAGTTTTTAGCAAATATTTTCCCTTTACTGGTAGTGTGAATATCATCATGCTTGATCATGGTTATTAAGGTGCACGTAAATGCGTGAACTATCATTTCATTCTCTAGTATTAGGGGTATAATAATGTGATACCTCTTCATTTTTCAGAAAGATCTGAGGAAGGACAAAGAACAAATGAGGTCAATGAGCTTCAAGTGAAAATGTAACCTCTTGTGTTATTATGATACTTTTTTTTTCATTTGTAATTGCAATTTCTTTTTCATTCAAAATATTCATGAAGTTAACTGCGGCCATATTTGTCTTTATAAATGTACACTCACTAATATCCTACTTCTTTAATTTGCAGCCACATGCAAATTGAGGAATCACGGCAACTCCAATTAGAAATCCGGAAGAGTATTGGCCAACAACTAGAGGTAATAAACAATATTGTTTTGATGGAATATCTGTTCATGAGCATCAATTAAAAATTTTATGAAAATCAAGCATAAAAGACTTGTATTTATAGTTTAATGTGTTGGCTTATTTTGCCTTTTGGCTTAGATGCAACGAAATTTGCAAATGCTAATTGAACAGCAAAGCAAGCAGCTCAAAGTAATGTTAGAGTACCAAAAGGAAAGAACCAAACTCTTGACACAGAATTGGAAGTGATTGTCCCCAAATGATGGATCAATTGTTTTAATGAGTTACACTTTTTTAACCTGCTTTATCATGTGGCATGGCTATGGCATTCTTATATGCAAGCACTGTTTGCTACCTTTATATATCTTGCAATATGCAATCAAGCATGTAAATGTAAGAAACGATATTTTAATTGGTAGCTACTTCAAAATGTAAGGATGTCTAGTCTGCTAGCTTTGTACTGAAATAGAGTTGGAAAGGCCAATGTCATCAGGAAGGAGGTTCTTGATCACATGGGAAAGTATCAATAGTATTCAATTTTGCTTGTGCAAAAGTCTTTCCGTAAGTCCATATACTAAGGCATTTTGTAAGTTAATATATTGGATTAATTGTATTTCTATTAGTCTCTTCGGTTTACTCTATGGGTGATTTTAGTCCCTTGTCAATTTACCAAGTTTTAGGTTCAACTTTTATACTTTGATTGGATGTGTTGATTTTGTGAGGAAAGAAGTTAAGAGGAGTGATTTCGTATAAAAAAAATATTTTTTTTTTCTTCTTCTTAGTTTGGATGTTTTATCTCTTTGTGAGAGGAAAGAAAAAAAGTAAGTAGGACTAAATAAATAAAAATAAAAATCATGCCTTCCTACCCCGTGAACTGAAAAGTAAAAAGAAGATTTTTTTTTTCTTTTAATTTATTATAATATTACATAATAGTTCACAAGTTCATGAAAAGCACAATTCATCAATCAAATTAATTACATAACTAGGAGAAGTTACTGTTAAAAAAAAAGTGCATATTGCATATGTGAGATGTTAAGTGTTAAGTTGAACACTTGAATGGAAATTGTATTTTTCTCTCTATACAAAAATGACGGGATTGTTTTAGAGTTTCACAAAACTTGTTTATTTGAAAAAATATGTTGTTTTTATAAATGATTATAAAAAATTAATTTTTTTTATTTTTACATATTTGTACACGAAATAATAAAAACAATAAATAAAGTAAAAATGAAGTAATTATTTTCATAATTAATTATGAAAGAGAAAATTAAAAAGGATAACTTAAGGACAAAATATCCTTGGGGTTTAAAAAACTTGTTTTGCTTTTCTCCCCACATTTCCCTTATTTCCGTCAAGAAAAATGACTAAAAATTCATCCTTGAAACAAATGGGTAAAAGGGGGAGATAAATATATTTAATTGATAGGTCTATGTACAAGATATATATTTTATTCATATTAATTAAAAAAATGGCGAAATTGGTCCTAAAAATTAGGATAACTTTTGCACATTTTACATCAACATATATTGCTTATAATCTCTCGAGTTCTTGTGGAAACCACTTCCAAATCTATCACGACAAAAATGCTAATTAATTTTATCCACATCCAAATCACCCCCAACAATCAACTTCACCCCATACAAAGTCAAGTTTGCCTGAATCATCATATACATACTGGTAAAACTCAAGCATACATCATATTTCATCTACACAAATGAATGCAACACTTATTAAAGGGTTTATAAAAAAAAATTATAAAAGTGGCTATTGCAAGCAAGTGTTTCGCAATGAAAACAAGGAAGGGAGGACAATACCCAAAAACAAAGGACCACAAACATTATTTGTACATGAAATATAAATATTAGTTTTCATACTAAATCCCATTTGTCAAATCAAAACATGCACCTCCAACCATCTTCAAGGAAAGGGCCGAAAGCATGAGCCCAAAGATCCCAGTCAAAATATGGGCCTTGGAGTTCCTTTTAAGCGAAACCCAACAACTTAAGAAAAGCCCAATTATAAACCTAATACGTTGGGTTCCGAAGAAGAAGAAGAGGAAGAAGGAAGAGAAAGAGGAGATGGAGGATTTGAAGAAGAGGAAGCTGGAAGAAGGGAACGATGATTTTGCTTCGAAGGAAGAGATTCGATTCCTGATTGAACCTTTAGCTAAACCCCAGCTCGTTGAACTTCTCGCTAAACTGTGCGTTTCCTATGCTCCCTTTCGCTTCCTTCTTCTCTGCAATCGATTTCACCATATGTTTTTGTTTTCATTCATTAGGTTTTTCTTCCTTTCCTTGATTCATATATGTAGTCCGTTATAGGTTTATTAGTACAAGAAGTGGAAACTGGAAAGGGTATTTTGATTCTTCAATTGGAATTGGCACTGGTGGAACTCCAACCTTGTAGTGCGTAAGTTGTTGGCTTTGTAAGTATGTGATGGAGTTTGGACTTGGAGGATTTGGCCTTAAAATTGTGGAATAATGGGTATTTAGGAATTCACTATGTCACCATTGGCATGATCATCTCGGAATATTTTCAAAATTTAGAATTTTACCCTTTTTTCTGAATATAAATAAAAATCTGGACAAGATCACATTGTCCCCCTTCTCATGTTTCCGGTAAGCTGTCCTGCTCCCAGCACCAAGAATTTGGAGTTGTGGGGAATGAGAGACATTGTTTTGCGAATGATCCAGACTCTAGTGTCATGTGTTGTTGACCCAGTGCACTTGGTCGTCATGGTTCTAAAAGGGTGACCCAATGCAAGAGCTTCTCACCTAGTGGGATCTTGGGAGGGTATATGTACGCAGCCTGTTCTCGCATGTGTCGGGGCTGTTTCAGGTTGAACCGGTGACCTCTAGGTCCCAAGGCTTGCCCTCTTTGGTCATCAAGGTTCTAAATTGACAAATTTAGCTGTATTATCGTTATAACTTGATGAAACTATAGACTATTTGCACATCAAAGCAAATATAAAATGTCAAATCATAAATGATCGATGAAAATAATTTGTTACACTTTTGAGTCTGGTTTTGTTCTGTCTCAGTTGGTCAGAAAAGAGTCTTTTTTGGTTGCATGGATTGCTTTATATGTGTATAAACAATGTGCATTGGTCATGTTTGAATTGTTAGTTCCTTCTGCTTGCTTGGTGTGATTGCATTCTCTGAAAAGGGACCATAAAAGTATTGCTCCCACTTGTATGCTGTGTGATTGACCGTGTGCATGTGTGTTTGTTTTCATGTTGAGGCATAAAGAGGGTCCCAATATCCTTCAATTGCAGAAGAAATAAAAAGTATTGCAAGTGCAGATCCTGTCCATCGAAAGCTTTTTGTTCGTGGCTTGGCCTGGAATACATCTTCAGAAACTTTGCGTGCTGTGAGTGCATTGATGATTGTGTTTAGTGTGTCATGCATGTGATTGTTTCCATGTAACATGGATTGTGCCCTACAAGATTTATTTATGGAATTCCAATTTCCATATCGTGTTATTTTCAACCCAGTACCTTGTCTCTGATCTCAAGAATCAAGACTATAAAAGATAAAATTCCTTCTCTGTATATTGATTCTTACTATTGTATTTTTTTCTTTTTCCAGGCATTTCAAGAGCATGGAGAAATTGAGGAAGGTGCCGTGATCTATGATAAAGCAACAGGAAAATCCCGTGGCTATGGATTTATCACCTACAAAAATATGGAATCAACTCAGCAAGCACTGAGAGCCCCTAGCAAGTTAATTGATGTAAGCTTTAGCCCATTTTATTGCTTTGGACTGAGACCTCCTATCTGCATGAATCTGCAGTTTCACTTCCCCTACTTCTATAATTTTCTCATGTAATTTGGAATACTCGAATGGTCTACTTTTTTTTTTCCTCTTAGTTTGTTTTAAACAAACAATCCATTTATTCATTTAGAATTACTATAACTAAAACCAATCTAATGGCTAGAAATAATTATTCTATATGCTATAAATAATTATTCTATATAATTGGAAACATTATCACGGCTGACTTTACCTCCTTGAGTCGATTAAACCCCCCCCCCCCTTCGTTTTTCAAGAACATATACTTTGAATATCCAATAATTCCAATTTGACCACTGCCGTGGTACCACCCTAATGATAAGTTTTTATCAGAATGATTGTCTCAACTATGGTTTACTTTTGAGAGAGCTTATTTTTATAGATAACTGACTTGTGGTTAGGGTTTGTCCACTTATGCAAACTAATAATCTATAATGTCTCACTTGTCCTGCTTGTTTTAAGGTAACCAATAAAACATGGGAGGTAACCGATAAAACATGGGCAGGTTATTTGTAATTTCCTTGTTCTTGATATTTCTAGATTGTAACTTAGTTGAGCGTAAGTGCCTCCCATCTCCCAAAAAAGAAAAATTGTAATTGTGCAACTCTGTAGTCATCAATTGCTACATTCCCCAGTTGATTTTATTGGTTTTGCTTTCAGGGAAGATTGGCTGTCTGTAATCTAGCTTGTGAAGGTCTAAGTGGAACAAGTAGTGCTCCTGATCTTGCCCTGAGGAAGCTTTATATTGGAAGTTTATCACCAGAAGTCACAAGTGAAATGCTGCTTAACTATTTTGCGAGGCATGGTGAAATAGAGGAAGGTTCAGTTGCATATGATAAGGATACAAATGAATCACGGTAAAAGTAGCAACATGCTTTATTTGTATACAAACTTCTGTAGTCTTTAATGCTTGTAACTAGCTTTTTTACCTGATATTCACTGTAACCTGTATTTTTCCAATTGTAGTGGATTTGGCTTTGTTACGTACAAGACAGCAGAAGCTGCAAAGAAGGCCATAGATGATCCTGAAAAGATTCTTGGGGTATGCAATCACTTCAATTTTTATATCAAGTCTGGGATTAGCTGTGAGTGTACAATATAGGATCTAATTATTTATATGCTCAAAATATCTTGGAATTGTAACAAGAAAAATGGAAAAGATCACTTTGAGTGAAAAAGGCATCCTAGTTAATAGTTATATAGAGAAAGTGAATGTTCTGTTAAAAAATGTTGGTTTAGACAATTTCAGGTAACTTGCTGTTTTAGCTAAATATTGGATTTTACTTTTCTGCACACACATCTGACTTTGTTTAAATTATTACCTCTATCTTGACAAAAACATAAAGATCCCTTTGTGTAGTTCCTTTGGAGGGCGTTCTTTCTTTATTGGTAATTATCTAATTGAACATTTAACTAGTCTGATCAATAATCTCACCTTAAACCCCTGTTCTTATTGGGGTTACAACAAATACTGAAAGGGGGCTCTTCAGTCTCTAAGCATTATGCACTTGTGAAAGCTGAAAAATCTGCTTTCACAGTGTGTTTGGTGAACGTTGTCATATCCTCAATGAAGTAAATGGCGATTCATACTGATTGATGTTTTTTGCATTGTAAATCAACTGCTTTGGAGTTGAATTTCTTATTATAACCTGCAATCGCACAAGGACTCAAGCTGTATAAATATTGAAGTTATGACACACTCCTTGTTTCATTGCAGGGAAGGAATATAATTGTAAAATATGCCGATTCCCACAAAGGTAAAACTGGCCAGCCGCCATTTCCTGCTGGAGTGGTTCCAATGGCTGCCTTACCTATGAACCCAGGATATATGCAGGCTGGAAAAGCTCATGTTAGTTCAGGGCCCCCAGTCAATTACACTTACCCACAAACTGTTGCACCATATTCTGCATCTCCTTATCCAAACCCTCCCACTGCCCCCTCACCTTATCCAACACAAGGGCAGGTTCCTTATCCTCCAGTTTCTGCAAAGAAGGACCAACTTGGGTATCCACCCACTCAACCTGTTGGAATGAATAACTACCCATATTATTATCCCAAGCAATGAATGTATTTAACTAAATATGATGATTTTGGTACTCCTTTCTTTGCTTTCCTGTTCAAATCTTACTAGCCCCTTGTACCTCTTACATGTCTTCAGCTATGCTGCTCTGCAACCCTTCCCTTTCTTTTGCAGTTTTTGATATCTTGTAGAATTTTGGCATTCTTATTACTTGTAATACTAGGCCAGAAACTCCTGTGACTAGAAAATTTTTTATATTTTTTTCTGAATATTTTAGACGTCTGATTATTGTAACGTTTATATTTTTTTTTCTCTGCATTTAGGCTAGAAATTACAAATTTAAAGCATTTGCCATTATTTGAGGGATTATTTGTTCTTTCAATATGCCTGCACATTTTTAAATTTCTAAAACTATAGGTCTTCCTTTGTCTAACGAAGTGTTCACAATCCACAAGGTCACTGTTGCGGGGATGTCCGTGATCAATCCCCCTTCAGTCTGTATAGCGTCCTTCAAAATATAAATGAAGAGGAATGCTGGGAAAAAATGTCATTATTAATGGAACCTATCTTTCCTACCCCTAAAACGAGTAACAGCAAATAGTCATCTATTCCTTAATATCTGAAATCGTCTCCAAAAAATTATATGTCACTGTACTATAATATTGTTTTATCCAAACCTGTAGCTAGCACCTGCAGTTTACGTTATCAGTATTTCTTTACATTGTAAGCGGTTAAGCATTTATAAGTAATAATAATATAAAAACAACTTTTATACATTGCTTATTTGCATCCTTTTTCCCATGATTATATCTGAGCGAGCTGCAAAGTTGTGCCACCGTTTTCTGTATAAAGTAAGCATGTTAATATTTTTTTTAGGAATTTTTCTAAAGTGCATGTATTCAATATATTGAAAACTTATTTTAGATTATACTAAGATATAAATGATATTTATATTTTTTTATATATATCACTAAATTTATCATTAAAATTAACGATTATAATTGTTTTGCGTATATAAAAGCATGAAATACTAGCACCTTAGAATTTACCGTTTTCTAATTGATCCCACTTAAGCATTGCTTTGTTATTTCCGTTGTTAGGAAAACCGATCCAACTGGGAACAGATCACGAGTTCAGTTCACTCTCTACGATGCTAACTTAAAAGAATCGGTAAGAACCATAATCAATAAACGGTTCTAGAAGAATTCGAACCATAACTATAATCTACGGAATAAAATTTTTAATTATTATTAGTGTAATTTATATTTAATGAGTTATATTCATCATGATACGAATTTAAATTCATAAACTAAACTAAAATAATTTTTAGTAATTGATTCATTCATGTGTTTAATGCTTTGATGGTTATATGTATATATATGATTCGTATTTTTGTGTTAATATTATTTTATATTTTCCTGAATCTTAACGATATCATGTACAATTTTTAGAATTTGTCATGTCCTACGTATGGGTGTTAACGTCACATTGTGCCTCGAGTATGTATTCTCAGGGATTTGAGAAATATAAAGAAAATACTTTTAATGTTTATAAGATAATAATAAATTATAATTTTAAAATAAAAAAATAGAAGGAAGGAGCCAGGAGGAACTAGCCTTGCCCCTCTTTTACGTGTTCTCTTGAACTAGCTAGCATTAGCACATAAATCCCTCTTCTTTTTCATTGATTTTTAAAAATTTGTGTTGTTTCTGAGGACTTGATAGGTAGAGAGAAAAACTGTTGAAGTTTGTGGGCTTTCTACCCTAAACATAAGCACACAGACATCAAACTTTGTTCATTCATCATCACAGCACTCCAAAATGGAAGACACGTCCCTTCATAGGAGATGATGCCGCCTCCTTCTTATTTTCCAGTCACCCATTCACTGTCCTTATTTATCCCTTTTCATTCTCAACTTAACCTTCTCTTATCTCCATCCCCACTAAACGACACCGTATCCCAAACCCATCCCCTTTTTCCAAAACCCCTCAATTCAACCCCATTCCCAACCCACCATGATTCACTTTCGAAAACTCAATGCTACCCCAAATCCCTTTCGCCATAAACCCTCGCAAAACCCTAGATTTCAGAGCACAAAAAGTAGAACCCCTGAATCGGATGCCAAAATCCCTGGCAAAGCCACCATAAAAGAAGTCCAAGCAGCATTGTTAGATTACCTTCATTCCACGAGAAGCTTGCAGTTCTTAGACGCAGATAACATGTGCAAAAACTCCCCTTTCTTCCTCCGCGACCTTTTCAACAAAACCCTATCTCAAAACCCTCACGTGGACACCATGCGATCCATCCAGCGCTACCTCCGCTACCACCCCATCAATGAGTTCGAACCCTTCTTCGAAAGCGTGGGTTTGAAACCTTCCGAATACGCGCCCCTTCTTCCCCGCGACATGATTTATCTAAACGACGACGCTCTGTTGATGGAGAATTACCACACACTCTGTAACTACGGCGTTCCCCGCCCCAAGATGGGGAAAATTCTCAAGCTTGCGCCTTTGGTGTTTCGCTACCAAAGTGGGGTTTTGATGTCGAAGCTTCGGGCTTATGAAAATTTGGGTGTCGCACGGACCACATTGGTGGCCATTGTTGTTTCTAGCCCTTGCATTTTGGTTGGGGATGTTAACATTGATTTTGTTAAGGTTGTGGAGAAGTTGAAGGGTGTTGTTGCAAAAGATGGTGATTGGGTTGAAGGGGTGTTGGTAAATGCGGGTTGTTGTAATTGGGATCTTGTGCTTCAGCTTTTTTGTTTGCTTGATAAGGTTTTCAGTGCGGAACAGTTGGGTGAATTGGTTGTTCGTAACCCTTGTGTTGTTTTTGAGGAGTCTGGTGGTAGTGCATTCTCCCTGATTGCCTTTTTGATCAAATTTGGATTGTCCGTGAACAGGATTTCACTCATGTTTCTTGAGTTTCCACGGATTCGGGTAGGCAAGTTTCTGTCTAACTTAAGGCGGTGTTTACTGTTCTTTAGTGAGATTGAGATGCAGACTGTGGAGATTGCGAGGATTTTCCAGTCTCATTCGGCCCTGTTGGGTTCCTTCACTTTGAAGAGAACAACAAGTTTGCTTTGTAGCTTGAATGCTGGCAAGCAGCGGCTCTGTAAATTCGTGCGGGAGAATCCTGAGGAGATGAAGAAATGGGGTCTGGGATGTAAGATTGAGCCTTTGGGAAGAATTGAGAGGGAATCGAAGGTGTTGAAGGAACAGTTCTTGCTGAGCTTAGGATATGTGGAAAACTCAAAAAAAATGAATGAGGTGATCAAGTTGTTTAGAGGTAAGGGAGCTGGGCTTCAGGAGAGATATGAGTTTATTGTTAAAGTGGGCTTGGATGATGAGGTTGTCCGTAAAATGATTCGAGATTCCCCTCGGATTCTTAATCAATCCATAGATTCGATGAACATGAAAATTGGGGTACTTGTAAATGAAGGATATCCTATATCGGCTTTGGTGAATTTCCCTTCCTTTCTCTCGTATTCAACTCGAAGAGTTAAGCTTAGGTTTTCTATGTATAATTGGCTCAGAGACCATGGAGCTGCACAACGGGGGCTTGCCTTGAGCACTTTAATTGCATGCTCTGAGAAAGCATTTGTGCAGCTGTATGTGAATCGTCTTCCATCTGGCCTACAAGTTTGGCAGAATTTGAAGGCAGAAATTTCGTCTGAGGTTTAATATATAATCACTTTTGAGGTGCATAATAATGGTTTAATCTGGCAATTATTTTCTGGTTCAGATAACTTGGTATTCCCTACTTTTTCCATCCTTTAAGGATGGATGATTGAACTGCAAGTTGTATTCTGAATGAGTCACTTCAAGTTGACTTGTAGATAAGCTGTAACATTGTGGATAGGCAATTGAAAATCAGATATGTTTGCAGACATTGGGTTGACTTGAAACCATCATGGACAACTAATGAACGGTTTTCATGAGCAAACATCATGGCTCATTGCTGATTGCAGGTATTTATGACATGGCTTGTAGACGGAAGAGTGTTGACTCCATAGATTTGGTATCCGAAATCACCATCTTTGCTTCAGCTGTAATCCACTTACCCCTGCTACATTGCAGATCACTTTCCTAGTATTTGATTTTTCTAACTAGGTCTCTTCTTCTAAGTGTGAACCACACTATGAGTGGAACTGGGGAGGATGAGAAACTGTATTCTTTTATAATTGAAAGTTAGATGTCTAGGTTTATTGGGTTGAAAGCCATCAATTTTTTAACATTATTTATTTTATTATGTAAAATCATTTGGCTCTTAAATCTCACATTGTGCTTGTGTTGGTACAAGTGGCAGGTAATAGTAATATCAAAATGTTGCAGAGAACCCATATTGCTTCTGGTAGTATGTTTTATCTTCTCTCTCTCTCTCTGTAGTGGTTATATATCCCTCGTTGGTATTATAAAATGATTCAAGGCAACGACATAATTTCCAAACGTATTTATGTTCCAATGTCACTCTTTAGTACATTGCCCAATAATGGAGCCAAAATCAAAGCATATATAGTTAGTTTGGTTTTAATATTTTTATATTTGAAAAACAAAAATTGAGGAAACAGGTGACATTCAAGTATTAGTGCCCCATGATCCCTCCGCGCTGATAGGTTAGAATTGTTGGCTTTCTTGCTGAGGCAAAAGTTCAGTATTCGAATGCAAACTTTAAAGCAATCTCATTCACCTTTTAAGTTTTTACAAACCACCATTTATGTCCCAACTTTAGAATCCTAGATTAGGTGGCTCACTTCAATTGCCCATTGTCATTGAATTCTATGTGCTTTCTTCAGCATGATAACGTCTAATTTGAATGGTCCTTTCATTAGATGATTAAAGATTGGACTCAACTTGGAACTCGTTAAACGCCATCATTACTATCGGACAATGGCTCTATGGCGGGTCCAACTATTAAGTTGCGTTTATCACTTTGGATTTTGCTTTTGAGTAGGGGTTAAGTGGTATTTAATAAACATTTTAATTATTTGAAATGTTTAAATAAATATTAAATATTTATATTTTTAAAATAAAAATTTTATTTTTGTTACATTAACCAACGTCCTATAAAAGTAATATCAAGTCTTTTTTTCTATGAATCAATGGTGAAAGTCTTTTTCTTATATATGTTTATTAGATTCATAAAATTTGTTTTAAAGTAAAGTTACAAATATTAATATCACCAATCAACAATAAGAACGCTAATGTTAGATATAGATATTTAATTTAGTTAAAATTATAATATATAAGTTATTTGTGTGCTTTATAATCATTAATGCACACTAATATTTTGTAAGTTAAGCAGCAAAATATGATGCATCTTAAATTTCAATTATTTTCTTAATTTATTAAAATATTATTTTTATTTTATTTTATTGTAGTGTAAAGTGATTATGCGGTCATTTAAGGTACATTAGGATAATTTAAAAAATATATATTTTATGATATAATCTTTTTATATTTTTACAAAACCACTAATAACTATTTTTAAATCTTTAAAAATTATTAAAACATTTTTTTGAAAAAGGTATAAACAAATGGGCATGAATGTGTGTGTTTTATGTATATATGTATTAATAATTAATGTTGAATGTGATTTGAAAGACATGTGAACCAGCAAACTATAAATTCCAAAATATGTAAGTCCTTTTTGTTGATGTCCATATTATAATGATGTTACAAATTATAATTTAGGAGTAATAACAGTATATCTAAAATACATAACTCATCGGTTATGAAATTGACACATTGTACATATGACTAGGATTAATATTTGATACATGCTAGTTAATATATATAAAATTTTATACTAACTGTTTTAATAGTAACTTTAAAACTATTAAATATGATAGTTTTTTAAATATATTTTTATGATTCAGTTGTTTGTAGTTGTTAATTCATAAAAATAACCTTTAAATATAGTAATAAATCATGAATTTTTAGTCAAAATTATAGTTAATATTTAATAAATAGTCATGCTTAAATATCCATATGGGCGGCTCTAACTCTAAGTAATAAGCTGACTTGATTAGTATTTAAGGGGTTAACGTGAAGTGCTTTAGCCAATGGAGAAAAACGCACACATATAAGTGTAGTGGCTAATTTATTGCAGTGTAAATTTGGAAATATATCATATGAGATTTTATTTATAGTCATAATTAAAATATAAAAGTTATTTAAATTTTTTAAAAGTTCAATAATATTAAATTAATCATATAATGTTAACAAATTTTTAACATTGACTATACGTATATAATTATATTGGCTTAATTTTATATAAAATAACATTTTTGCTAAATATATCTCCATAAAAATAATTTTTAATCTCAAATCAAAGAATTTTTTATTTGTAATATTATATTTTGTTTAAAGCTTTGAGAGTTTGGAAAGAGAAGAGAAAATAAAATAAAATAAAAGGAAATTTAACCAAAAAAAAACTCGAGAATTTAAAAATGAATTAATAAAATTTTGAAAAGTTTATAAAAAAAGTTCTTACACATTTAAAGATTTTCAAACAAAACCTTCTATTAAATAAATACTTTTCTTTCTCTTATTTTTCTCATTAATTTAATTTTAAAACAAAATTTTGATCACCAAGTTATAGAATATTTTACTTAGTTACTATTTATTATCTCAACCAATTTAATCTTATAGTTATATCCATTCCTCAAGAAATTAATCTTACATTTATATTCATAAAATATTTCAATAAACTATTTTAAAACTGTAAAAACACTTATAAGTAAAAAAAAAAAAAAAACTCAATAGATGAAGCATTTAGACAATCATAATACCCTCATAAATTAAAACTAATTTTACTTTAATAATTTAATTCATATTAGAGCATTGGCATAATAAAATAAAAAAACAATAAATTTTGAGTGCAATAATAAATAAAGATATAAACAAGATTAACTATTTATAAAATATTTAAATTTGATTCATTAAATATTTGATTAAATGTATTTATTTTAATAAGATAATAAATTTAAGTTTGAGTATAAGTTTAATTATATAAATGAGACAAATTTAATATAGGTTTAAAATTAAAATATTTAAAATTAGTTTACATGTGTGAATAAGAATAAGAATAATAATAATCATAATTAATACCAATTATTAATTTTATATAAAAAATAATAATTAAAAATATAATTTTATTGTAGTTAGTCTATAAATTTTTGTTTATTTTTTATTTTTGTGTAATTTTATATTTTAAAAAATAAAAATATCTATTAAATATTAATTTTGTAAACTTAAAAACAGTTAAAAAATATTTGATAAATAAACTGAAATAATGAAATTACAAAATATTTGTTTATCTTAAATTTTGATATATATATTTTTCAATTAGTCAAACTTGAATTTAAAGTTTAAATCATTTAAATAAACATATAAATCTTCAAGCATCATTTTATTCACAAGTTAATTTGAAAGTTTAATCATGCAACTTGACTGATTTACACTTCTAAGTATATATCATTCTCAGGGGAAAAAGAAGAGATATATTAAAACTTTTTATGACAATATTTGAAGGTTATCTTACAGTAACTTAGTTGAAATACTTGAAGATAATAATAATTCTTTGATAAATATTTGTTACTATTAAACCACCCGAATAAATCTGAACTCTAGCTATCTTCCATTTTCTTTTTTCTTTTTTCTTTTTTCTTTTTTCTTTTTTCCATCCAACTTCCGCTCTAATTCAGTTCTTTCTCTCTGTCTTGTTTCAGTTGTGTCTTTGGTCACTGCTCTCAAACCTAGTTCCACATTTTCACTCATCAAGTCTCAATCTTTAAGCTCATATTTCTCTTCATTCACATCACTTCCCTGATCTGCCTCCTCACTCTCTTTGACTCAGATCATTATTTTGACCACTTTTTCTTCTCTGTTATGCCTTCCTTCAACCCATTCACAGAAAAATCACTTCTTTCATTTCTCTTTATTTTCCTTATCTGATTTCGTAAAATGGGTCCTCTTTCATATGCAGAAACTTGATTCAACACACCAGGTCAGCTTCATTTCTCTTCTGTGTCTCTTTTTGCTTCTTCAATCTCAATTCTAAAATGTTATTTTGTGTGTGTATTCTGATAACTATCATATTCTGTTTTGATCCTTATAATGAACTGGGAAAGTGATTTTAATTCTTCTTTTGTTATAGATTTTCTTACTGTTTTGAACCAGATTAGCAGAGGAATTTATGGTGTCCACTTGCATTGAGCTTGAACTAGATCGAGCAAAAGCTTTAAAAAATCATAATATCTGTGGTTATATATGCTGTTTACATTGAAATTGAATTTTATTATATTTTGGGGGGTTTCTCTTAACTGTTGCCAAAAGATGAAACGGCTTCAGTTTTTCCGTTTTGGATTTGGTGATCCGTGAAATGGTTCAGTTTGTTGCTAAGGGGAATGATTGGAAATGAGATGTAATGTTTTCGCTGTTAGATGTCTTTGTTTCTTTTTCCTTGGTGAAAATGAAGATGGCCTGATCCTTTGATTGGTTTTTCTGACATTGATTGTTCAGAATTTTAGAATTAGTGTGACGCAAGTCCACTGCTTGTGCATGCTCTTCTTTTTTTTTTTTTTCTCTTTTTTAATTGTCATTATTATTGATCACAGAAACCATCCCCTTCAATGATTTTTCTATACGGTATTTCAGTCTTTTTATGTTGTCCATTTGGAAGACTCAGCTTTACATTCACGAAGCCCTTGCTTTTGGCTCACATTAGAATTTCAACTGATGCATTCTTTATTTGATCCTTAAATAGTAAATAAACAGAAGAAATTTATGACGGCATACTTGATCTCTGTTACCCTTGATTTAACATAAACAAACAAGTGATGCAAGTGATACTTAAAAATGAAAAATTGGATCAGAGATTAAATGTGGAAGAAGTGGCTTGCAAATAGCATCACTGAAAATTGTTGTGCAGTTTTAAGTTTTAACTATCTTCTTTAATCCTCAAGTTTTCTTTCAATTTGACTTCTTTCTTTGTCATTCAGTTATTTGGTGTTTGTTTGGCCTTTTAAGTATAATTGATTTTTCTATGCAGATTTCTTAAGAGATATATAGTACATTTTGTCAACAAGGTCCTTTGATTATGGGTAGAGGCAGAGGAAAAGGTAAGAAACAATCTGTTATTGCTGAGGATCCTGGAAGTGGCGAAGAGGATAAAGTCCCAGCTTACAGAAGAAGAGGAAGACCAGTAAAGCCACTGATGGATGAAATTGATGAAGTGGAAGCAACTGAAATAATAGAGAAAGATGAGGAGAATGTGAAAGGTAATGTTTCCAGCAATGATTTGAAAACTCAGGTTATCACAGTCAATAAAAGAAAAAGGAAGAGGTCTGCACAGGTTAAAGAGAAGAAAGATCCCATGAAAGAGGACAATGGCATTCGAGCAAAGCCAAGCCCTGATGATCCAGTAAAGTCTACTGGATTCCGACAGAATGGGAGCAGGCGTAAAAACAAGCCTCGCCGAGCTGCTGAAGCTGGGGTAGATTGCAAGTGAGCGAGGTTATCATGATGGTTGTAAGCCCTTGGAATTGCTGGACTTCTGTTATCACCAAGACGGGTTCATTTGATTGTATAAGGCTTGTTATGGTTGCATTATTATTCTTTTTGCTTATGTAACTTTTATGCTATTTCTAATTTTAATTTTGGGGATTCATGGTAGACTATGTTTCTTTAGTCTTCCATAAAACTATTGCTATAAGAAAGTCTGGAATTTTGTAGATATTCTTTCATCATGAGTTTGTGTTAGTTGATTTCTCTTTACTCAGTTTTTGTTAATACAGTAGTTTACTTGACATGCATATCTGTGATGTCAAGTAAACAATGCAGTGATTGTGAAAATGAATGTTCCAATGGCCATACCAATTGCATGCTACTGAGCTAAACTTAGGCGTTTTAAGCATATTGCATGTTTTTTTTTATCATTAACTTGCAAAACTTGAAGTTAATAGAGACATGTCATGTTGGATGCACATGTGACAATGCAACTTTCTTCCTCCTTCCATAATTAAAACGTTGAGCTAATTTTTCCTTAATCTTCTCCAAGTTGTCTTCAACTTTTGTCAACAATGACCCTCAGAGTCCTCCAAGCTTGTTGACCATAAAAAAAAGTGTCCTTCAAGCTTGCATGTTTTAAACATAAATCCTCACACAATTACTCTAGTCAACACTCCTGAACGGAAAACATAGCAATGGATAAACATAGCAATGGATCTTATCTTAACCTCATTTTGGCCTTGTAAGTTTAGATTTGGCTTGAGTGTTATTTTAGTTTCTAAGGAAAAATGAGCATAGATCTTGCTAGCAACATGCATTTGCGGCAGACAATGAGAGGAAAGAGAAAGAGGAAAAAATAAGACCCGGAAGAAAAAAAAGAAGAAACGTACATAAATGTGTATTAGAGTATGGTAAATATAGGTCTCTTTGGTGAACTTGGTGGCTTTTGCTTTGATTTGTTGATATGGAAACTCAAAGGATAGGTCTTGGGGCACAGCTATAGTCTAGCACATGCCTATTCACAAAAGTCCTTTAAGCCTCATAAATCAAGTCAATCTGTTTAAGTATATATTATTATTATTACTATTATTGTTGTTGCTGTTCGTGTCATCGTATTTAACTTTTATTTTAATATCTTGAAATTATATGCAATGTGCCTAATTTAAAATGCTTAAGTTATTAACCTATAAAAAATCTAATTTTGTCATATAGGTTTGTTGACTTATTTTAGAGATGTTACTATAAAACAAGCTTTTCAATCAACATTTAAATTAAAATAAACTGTTTAAAAATAAAACTTATACCTTAAAAAATAGCTTTATATCCAATAAATGAGTTATTTTCAAGTTTAAAAAAGTGGCGAGACCTATGCAACATAAAGTCAGAGCATTAATCATTTTCACCCCTCAAGTCCATGTCTATGTTTACCCATTTTTTTTCTTTGATTAATGAATTAATAGAGGTGGAGCAAAGGTTTCAGCATTTTATGTGTGTGTGTATATATATATATATATATTAGTATGAGTATTCAAGATTATTGAAAAAAATTTCATTTAGAGTTGAAAAGGTTTTTTTTTTTTTTTTACCTTAAATAGATTTGGCCTATTTCCTAAACTTGAGACTTAAACCTAATTTATTTATCCTACTTAAGTTTTTCTTAAGGTCTAATCAATTTTTAAAAAAAAATCTAGTATAATATGAAAGTTATTTAAAGGCGTAGCTTGTACTGTAAGGTCATTTAAATAGGTGATCAAACATATACAAGTTTATAAATATTTTAAAATAAAATAATTATATAATATCAGATTTATTATGATTTTTATTAATCTGAATAATATGTTGAAATCTATGTAATAATATAACAAATACAGTAGTATTGGCATAATAATATAAGCATTTCTTATATTGGGGTCTATTAGCATGGAAGATAACCAAGACACAACATTTAGCAATAGAAAAAAATCAATGTGAACTATATTATGATTTTTTATTAATCTGAATAATACGTGGAAATCTTAAAAATACGTAGACGTTTAGTTAAGTTGATTTTATATTTTTATTTAATAAAAATATAAAATTTTGCTTGACTATTATTCGACACAGTATTAGGCGCCATCCTTCCTGTGACTGCTTTGATGTACTATATTATTAAGCACTTCCACATAGACTCTACAATTTACAAGTAATTGGATATCAGATTAATTGTTATATATATATATATATATTATTTATTTATTTATTTATTTTTCTTGCATGTAAGGTTTGATAACTTGAAGTTTCATTGATCTCACTGATTTTTTAACTGCGATATTGAAGGTCATTGGTGAACGATTAAAAGTCCATGAGGTAGGCAGCAGCTTCATGGAGCCGTAAGATTCAATGTACTCGGTGGTAGCTGTTTTCATTGGCCTGACCCCCACTGCCACTACTTAACCCTGTCATATCTCACATGGATATATTCAGGTCTCTACAACGTGGGTTTGGATGATAAAATTAATATAATTACAAGGGTTAAACCAATATTTAAAATTAAGATAAATTATAAAAAAAACACGATCAATGATTATAATTATACTTTATTATTTCAAGTACACTTCCCTTTAGAGAAATCGATTATGTTGAGGATGTTTTAGTTCTATCTCTGTCATGTTCTTGTCTTCTTCCTGCATTTATTATTTCCTTCAAATTTTCTTCTGAAAAATAATAAAAAATTAAATAAACGGCAGAAATATATATATATATATATATATATTTTATCTTTCGTATATAATTTTGCATTTATTTGATCGAAGCTGGCTAATGATAAGGAAAGTCAAGAAAATTATGGAGGGAAGCTTCAAAGCAGGGGACAGTGACAGAGTTACGAGGGGCTTGGCATGGTTTCATTGCATGTTTGGCTTGCGGGTCGAGGACATATATGTAAAATCAAGAGACGAGGGAAATGGCGGCAGTAGAAGAAGAGGGAGCAAAAATAGGAGAGGAGGGATTTTACCTTTTTTATTCCACACTTGTAAATTAAAGGGATTTTATTAAAATTTATCCCTGTTTGTATTTTATCTCAACTGAGTAATATTTAATAATCACTTCATTTATAGAGTATATTTCCTCCAAAAAATATTCCCTCTTCACTCAAATTTGTATAAAAACTAGTATTATATTTTAAAAAAATTTCTCCAAAGCAAAAAAAAAAAAAATATATATATATATATATATATGCATATATTTTTTTTCTCCCTCGTAATGCAAGAAGGACAAAGCCTAAGAAGAAATTACTTAAAGTTATAAGATTATCTAAAAAAGGCATAATTTTTATGTTTTAATATTAACTGTTTATGATATATACAACAAATTATCACTTTATAAGAAAAAAATTTAAATTAACAAATAGGATTGTATTAATTAATACGTTAAAGAACTTAATAAAAAATAATAAACTTTTATTAAAAATCCTCAACACAACCTTATAAAGACACGCAGGGACAGAAATTTCTCAATCAATGACCAGTATGTCAAGGTGATTTCCGAAGCTGACAAAAATCAGCAAGCTTTTAAGTATTAATGAACAATTACTTAACAACCAGGAGCATTATATATTTGCGACGTGATTGGTGAATCTGAATACGTGCCAAGCGATTTTTTATTATAAATAAAGGGGTGGTAAAGAAAATATTTTGTCGGATATACTATTTTTTAAAAAAAGGGTTTTCATATTCTTTTAATATTTTACAGAAAATATTAAAAAATATTAAAATACATAAATAGACTAGCAAAAAAATATTTACCCATCTGAACCTGTTTACTGTAGCAAATAATTTTTAATTAGAAATCGGTTTATGGGAAACTGAATTTTGGGCTTTTTTTTATTGTGTTTTATATTTTTATATAATGAAATAAATATTTATAAGATGTTACTCTAATAAATATTTATAAATATTTTATTAATTATATATATTAAAATAAGTTTTATTATTTGAATTATGTTTTTATTTTTATATTAAGTGAAAATGAATAAAAATATTAATAATATTTATTTTATATGTTTATTAAAATTTATTTTATATATTTAAGATAATAAATAATATTTTTGTTTTTCTTATTATATTATTTAATATAATTTTAATTTTTTTAAATAATATTAATATTATATTCTGAAATTATAATTTTGGTTATTTAATATTATATTTTTAAAAAAATTACAATAATAATTTATTTAATTTTATATTTTTATAAAATAAATAAAAGTATTAAATAATAATAAGTTTATTTATTTATTTTGAGATATTAATCTTTATTAAAATTTATACATAATTATTTATTTAAAAAAATATGTTATTAATATTAATAAACATGATTAAATAATATTATGTAGATATATATATATATATATATATATATATTTAATATAAATTACAAATACTAAAAATTCATAAGTTGTAATGACATTCATAAAATTAAAAATAACATTAAGAAAATTTTAAAGTAATAACAATAACATAAATTAATGGCGGAAACTAAAAACTTGAGTGATGTTTGGTTATGTCTTTCCTTGTGTGATTAGGGGTGTGACAATAAGAATAATTTTTTGTTTGACTTTGTTGTTCTCTAATGTCTATCTCTGTTCCTATCCTACTAGACTTAGGTCGATCATTTGAAATTCTTTTCAGTTTTGGATTTAGACTTAAATTTGGGCCCGTGTAAGTTGACCAATAGTCTTCGTGTCTGAGTTCTCCAGACTGACATTCGTATACCTTAGAAAATTGTTGTAAGATATATACGGGAGATATGTAAATGTCAAAGTTGTGGTGTGTGTGTAAGTATGAAGTAAGTACATGTGAGCATGATATGTGAACTTTTTGAAACTTGTCACAATTATACCACATTTCATCTAATCGTACTGTAAATCTTCCTGCGAGTTAAATTCCTGTTGGATGTTGCGTTTCTTTGACTAAAAATCCAGTGATTGTTTTGTCAAAGGTGATGACTCTATAAGTGTTTGCCTTTGACTGTGCATTTTGGATTGCTTTAGTTGCAACCTCCGAGTACATATGTCCAGCATTTGCATCTACTTCCCTGCTTCTCTTAATGAAGAACTTATTGAAACGAGTGTATGTCCATGGAGCAAATTGACAGGTTTCTGGTTTTCTTCAAGACCGAATTGATTGACCTCGCTAGGTTTGTTGTCATGTGTCCCCAATGTCATCTGTTGTCCCATGCCAACGTCTATTTTTCCCTTGGGATGTTGTTCAACCATTGTGTAGTTTCAAGATTATTATCTTTTACTATGTCGTAATAGTAAAAGAATCTCAGTTCAGTCATCCCATATGCTAGAAAAAAGATTACAATTTAAATTAATATAACTAGCTAAGCAATTTTATAAAATATTAATGATAATATAGAGTACGTGAAAAATTAAAATTATCCATATTGATGACATCTTTCTTCAGTGCAACGTTTTTGAATCGTTGCATAAAATTTTGTGTAATGTGTCTAATGTAATAGACATGGACATAATTATTTTTCCATCCAACCATTTCCATTTCTAGAGTATGCACTTCTTATGGCCTCGTGACGATTTGAAATGAGGCATAACCCTTCTTGTGGGGTTACGTACTTCCTTAAGTTTCTAAAAAAAAAAAGAACCATGTATCGCTGATTTCACCTTCAACCACAGCAAAGGCAATGAAAATTATATTGTTGCGGCCGTCTTGCGCAACTGCCACTAATAAAGTCTCTTTGTATTTATCATATAAAAATATTCTATCCACTTGAACAATTGGTTTGCAAAAAGCAAAATCATCAATGCATGACTTGAAGGTCCAAAACAACCTCTTGAAGAACACATTCTCCTCGTCAACATAGCCATCCTTGTTTGCCGGTTGTGTACTCAATTTCTAGATAAAGCTTGGAACATACAATTACATTACAAGCAACTGTCTAGGTAACTTATGGTATGACTCCTCCCAATTTCTGAATATATTTTCAATGGCATGTTTCTCCAACCATCTCTTTCTATAGCTGATTGTGTAACCCATTGTAAACTCTATGTGGGCTAAGATGGTTGCGATGAGTGTGGATGAATCAATCTTAATAATTTTACTAATGGTTTGAAAAATCATTCATGTCCCAACTTGTTATGATCTTGTGAAATGAGTAGAGAAACACATGTGTGACACCTTTCAAGCTTCATTATTTCTCAGTGTTGCTCTTTGGTGCGCAATATAGCGCGACATCTCCAGACACAGCCATTGTGAACGCATTCCACAACAAGCCTAGTTGTGCTTGACATCTTTACCTTGCAAGTGCAATGATTGATAATATGAAATCTATTTATGGCGTCTTGCACTTGTTCTTTTGTTAAGAAGCGCTGGCCAATAAATAGTGTTTCAGGCGGATACATTACCATTTCACAATTCAGGACATGGCCAAACTCAGAGTCATGTTCTTGTATTTGACTGAAAAAGTCTATAAAATGTGGAGGTGAGTTGTATAATGGTAATGGTTGTGATGATAGAATATTTGAAAGTAGGAGGGAGTCTTCTTCATCATCCTACTGTTGAGATAAGATTTTATCTTCGTCCTCGCTAAAAGGATCAAAGACTTCGATTGAGAGACCCACAACAGCAAGTTCTTCAATGAAGGTTTCTTCAAGACGCTGAAAGGGTAAGGTTTGCTCAAATGGTTGGGAGGATATTTGATTGAGGTCTATGAATGGACTAGTTAAAAGTTGTGTATAGGGCTGAAGGTCAGAATTTTTATCATATGTTGGAAAAGATAGATTTATGGTTTCGTATATTTGGTAAGGTGAATGTGAAGGTGAAAGTTGTGGTGCCTGAATTACGTTTGTAGCAAATGTAACATATAATTATATACTTGATTGAAGTTGATTTGAATTGTGGATGTTGAAGAGTGTCTCGACGTCTTCATCATTGTTCAACTCAACACATGTGTAGTTGCTAACTTTCGGGTCAAGTCTAATTGGGTAGTGAAAATGTATGGTTGTCACCCTTTCATTTTTGTCTCAGTTGAGTTTTGTGTGAATGACTTTCTTGATGAATAAATTTAGAAGGAGAAGATTCACAAGAATAAGGAACAAATTTAGAAGGTTGAATGAAGAAAATGAACACGAATATGACTATTTATAATGGTAATATTGGATTCTCAGTCATTTAATACTTCACCATGTTTTATGAGTGATGGTGACATGTCCATGACACCATTAAATATTTTACAATAAAGATGTCTTCTGACATTCACGTAGACCAAGAGATAGTGAATTATCAGTCATGCCCAGCATTGGATTCTCTTCTCATTCAAGTCATCCCATATACTTCAAAACAAGCTTTCTCTCCCCCAAACAAAGATACCTTCTGACATTCACGTGAACCAAAAGATAAAAAGATGTCTTCTGACATTCACGTAGACCAAAAGATAGTAACTTTTCAAGAATCTAATGTTACTCTTTCGTACCAAAGTTTATCTAGAAATATGTTCATCCAAGGCCACATGTTTTCATTCAAACTTACATCCATCTTTATTCTTCGTTTCTCTTTGTCTTTACTCCCATTACTAAAAATGTTGTTGTGGAAGCAAAACGAATATAGGTCCACCTTCATTAAAAGAACGGTAAGTTTTACATATTACCATTATTTACTGAATATGTAAATTAATATCTACATATGATTTCATCTTTTTGTCATTCAATGTCAGAATATAGTTCTCTAATTGTTCCTATACTTAAACAACTTGATTTTGCTAGGGTAGCAAAGTTAAGGCATCTTAAGGTGGATCACGCATTGATAACAGTTTTGATCGAGAGGTAAAGACCTGAAACTCACACATTTCATTTTCCAACAGGGGAGTGCACCATAACCCTAGAGGATGTTGCACTTCAACTCAGGCTAAGAGTTGATGGATTGCCAATCATTACTCCAACAATGTTTGACTAAGAAGAAATATGTGACACATATTTCTATATCGTGCCAGTCAAGGGATAGTCACTTATTGGCTCTATGCTGAAACTGAAGTGGCTGAGAGACAACATGTTGCCATTATCAGAAGAACCATTTGAAAAAGAAGTTCACGCCCATTTTAGGGCTTATATACTAGGCTTAATTGGAGGTGTTTTGATGCTTGACAAAACAGGCAATAAAGTACATCTTATGTATTTAGCTTTATTAACTAATCTTAGAAAAATAAGACGATATAGTTGGGGTTCTGCTTGTTTAGCTATATTGTACAGGGAAATGTGCAAAGCCACAGAAGTTGGTAGCAAAATAATGAGTGGTTGCTAATTACTGTTAATGTCGTGGACATGGTATCGCATGTCATATATTGCGTCAATTTTTAGTAATCTATCAACATATCCTCTCGTGTGTAAATGGAGCAAGGGTAGAGTACTAAACTTTCAAAATAAACTTCACAATGATGTTGTATAGTACATATTAATGTTTGATCACATTTATCAATATTATTTTAGTAATATGAAAATGTTTATTTTAAAATAATTGTCTCAAGTATAAATAATTAACTTATAATTTAATATTTTATTTACTTTTTAAAAATAAATATTTTATTCTAAAACAAATTTTATTAAAAATTATAATATTAAAGGTTTAGGGTATTAAACATTAGGAATTATGATTTATGGTTTAGGGTATTAAAAATTAAATATTAAATAATATAATTTTTATAAAAACTAATTTAATTAAATAAAATTTTATTCAAAATATCATTTTATCATACTGATATTTAAAAATATTAACTCAAAATTACATATTTAAATAAATAAACAGAATAATATTTAATATATTTATTTAGTTTTTAAAAATATTATTATTATTCTTCTTTAAGTGTAAATAATTTAAGCATTAATATTATTATCTAAAATAATATACTTATTATTTAAATATTTTAATTAATTTTTAAAAATTATCTAAAATAATCTACTTATTATTTAATTTTTTAATTATTTAAAAAAAATATAATTATTATTGTTATCTAAAAAATAATTTATTATCATAAATATGTAAAATAAATTTTAATAAACATGTAAAATAAATATTATTATTATTTTTATTCATTTTCAAGTAATATAAAAATATAAACCTAATTCAAATAATTAAATTTATTTTATTATATATAATTAACAAAATATTTATAAATTTTTATTTAAATAGAAAATTATAAATATTTATTTTAACAAAATATAAATATAATTTAAATAATAATATTTATTTTATTATGTGAAAACATAAAACAAAGTTATATAAAAAATAAAAAAAACTCAATCCAGAATTCAGTTTTTCGTGAACTGAATTCTGACTGGGAATTATTTGTTACAGTAAATAGGTTCAAATGGGTAAATATTTTTTTCTTGTTCTATTTGTGTATTTTAATATTTTTTAATTATTTTTGGTAAAAAATTCACCGTATGACTAATCCAAATGACTTGTATTTTAAGGTTATAATTTGACTAGTAAAGGGTAAAATGAATATAAAACAAAAAATTGTGAAAAAAGTAAAACAAAGAATGTTAAATTACCATGATTTTTGGGGGGGTAAAGATAAGAGGTGAAAAGGAGAACAAGTGATCCACGAGGAAAACGCAGGAGATGGTATAAGAAAATAAAAGAAAAGAAAGGGGAAGTGTATTATGGAGGGTGGAGGAGGGTTATCCAATATCCAATATGGAATCTAAAAACTAAAAGTGAATTGGAAAGTAAAGAAAAAATGTGGTTGGGTAACGGGCATGCATGTTTGAAATTGGTGGTTAAATTAGGGTGCATAGATACATCCCTTTCTAATGGAGCAGGAGGCACGAGGTAGCTGGCTAGTATGTGACAGGGACACAAAAAGTTGCACTAAACAACAGTTACACTTGTTAGGGCCGGGAATGGTTAAAAGGTTAGTAGTATGGGAGATGAAGAGGCAACACAACACAAGCCAAAGCTAACTCAAACAAAAGAGGGTACAATCTGTGTCTCGTGGGTGGCGCTTTACCTCCATTATTTTTGGTTTTGGACAGACAAGGGAGTGTTTGGTTCTCTGACTACATACACTACTTCTCTCTTCTCAGTGTACCTCACTCTGCCACTATGGCCCAGCGTCAACTCTCTCCTTTTCCCTACCCTTCCACCTCCTCTTTTGTCTTCCACTTTACTCTCCTACTGCTTTCAACAAACAACTAGCATCTCTATCTCTCTCCTTCTCTCTGTCTCTGTCTCTCTCTTATCAATCAAATTCAAGCCACAATGAATAATAGCCTCTAGCCACCCCAACTCACATCACTAATGGGTTCTGACTCTGCCACCAAAACCCCCTCCTCGCCGCCTAACTCTTCTTCTGAGTCTCTCAATGGCCTGAAATTTGGTCAAAAAATCTATTTTGAGGATGTGGGTCTGGCCACTCCTGCCACCTCTGTTGCTGCTTCATCATCATCTTCTTCTTCTTCTTCAAAGAAGGGAAGAGGTGGGTCTCTTCAACCGGCTCAGCCTCCTAGGTGCCAAGTTGAGGGTTGTAAAGTAGATCTGAGTGATGCCAAAGCTTACTATTCTAGGCACAAAGTTTGTGGCATGCATTCCAAATCCCCCACTGTCATTGTTGCTGGCCTCCAACAAAGGTTTTGTCAACAGTGTAGCAGGTCAACACTCCTTTCATCATCATTATTATAATTATTTTTCTTAAACTTCTTTTCATTTTTTAATATTTTACTATGATGGGTAAGGTAAGATAAGGTAGTGTTTTTTTTTTTTTTTTTAGTACTGCTAATTTATTTATTTTTAATTTTATTCTGTTATTCTACGTTTTGGGCTGTCTGTGGTGTAGGCTGCTTGGTGAGATATGTTATCCTGTTTTGTCGGTGCAGTTATAGGTTTGTTGCTTGTTTAACGTTGTTTTAGTTCCTTAATCGTGGTCTTGCTTTTGTTGGAGTTTTTTGTGTGATGCTTTGTGTCTGTTATGAAGATGTTTGTTCTGCTATAATTTGGCTGATTGTGTTCCGTGTACTTTGCTTTTTTCTCCTACCTTAGCTTTAAAGTGCTTATCTGAATGGTTGTCTGATAACGCGTGTGAAATATTGTATTCTCTTTTCAGCGAATTGATTCTTGCACCCCAGATGTGTTTGGTATTAAAATAATAACTTAGTTTGTACGGAAAAAGGGTTTGAAGTGGGAATGAAACTTGAGTCTAAAAATAACACTACTCTGCTGTTTTCCCTCTTGCTTTTGTGGGGTTGGGGTATGGGGCCATCAATTGTGTTTTAATATGCCATTATAGGCTTTTGATTACTGTTTCTGTGTAAGCATTTAGCTTATTTTTTTCCTTTTATAGATTGCGGAGATAGCCTTTGAAAATAAAAGAAGATTCTTTTCCAAATATAATCTATTACCAAACACTGGTATACTCTAATTCTTGGTGTTTTGGGCCTAGTTCACATTTGTGCATTTGATGCAGCAGTTGCTGCCATGGAGTTATTGATGACAATGATTTAGTCTTTATTTATGTTTTGTGTTGTTTGGTCTTTTTGTGATGGTGAGACCTCGTGGTGCTCTCTATATATGACAATGGTCCTTTTATGAGTTTTTATTGTTCCTTCTGTTCTCTTTCATTGTTCCTGATCTTATGGAGCGTTGGAACTGTGAAGGTTGTAAAAAGCTACAGAAATGAGATTGAAACTTGAACCAAGTCAAACATGCGAAATAATTATATAGAAAAGTCATACAGGTATAAAATCAAGTAATTCAGTTTAATTTTATGAATAAAGTTGTATTTATCATGTGAAGGCATATTATTTGTACATCAAGAGTAATCCCTGCTGATCTGAATGAACCTAGGGTTCTTTCTTAAAGCTTGCATTATTGCATGATGATATTTTTCTGCTAAGTGGTGTATCAGAGTAGCTGCTACCTGCTATTGTTTGGTTATCGATAAGGTAGGTACTGATCGTTGGTAATTTGAGATTTAATATACCTTAAGCAGATAGGTTCTCTAATTGTTCATGAAATTTCCCTTGCGTGGAGAACTCCATTGTGCGAGCTCTCTCTCTGGTCATGTGTTGCCTCCTTAAGACGTTTTAATTCTTATACTGTGTTGTGTAGTTGACTAGTTAATACCCTTATTGAGTACACTTGGTGTTGCCGAATCCTGCTGATCCAGTTCAGGTCGCATGCCTCACTATAGTGATTTTCATCTCTATCATGTTTTATCGTCCTAGCTTCATAACATATACTGCCCATTTCAATTTGACTCATCAGTATTACTACAAGCTTGCACTTTGGAGGTGGGTGGCCATCATAATTAGAAACTTACTGACTATACGATATGAAAACCATGGTCTATCAGTCAGTGAATGTGATTTCTTTATGCGGTTTTTGTGGAACTTGGATAGCATTTGTGTCTCTTTTGGGCTTATGGATCATCCAGGGTTGAAAAGGGTTTTCTTGGTGAAATGTTATTTTGATCTGTAGCCTTTCTATTTAAGGAGCCAGATATGTTTAGAAATGGGAAGAATCAGAAAATGGAAAAACATTACTCTTCTGAATATGCTAAGATAAAGTACATATTATTCAAAAGACTAATGGCAAGATAATTAAGATGGATATTGTTAGAATCCAAATGGTCTCGCCATTTCAGATGATAATATTGTAACTGGTGGAAGAAAAGGTCATCTATTTTACGTTTGTGTCTTGCACCAAAGAAGAAAAAGAACTTCATTGATATTGTGTTTGGTCTTATTTTACTGACATGTTAAAACTGAATCTAAATATCATGGAGCCACAGGATATTCCTTGAGCGAAGTTTGAGGATCTCTTATGTAAACAGGGCTCAAGGAATATCTTGTACTGCCAATATGCTATCTTCTCAAAGATGACTAAATTGAGTCACTTTGAAATTTCATCTCACTTGCATCTGCATTTAATGAGAAAATAGAGATACTTCCCAAGTGCATTTTATTTGTAGAAACAGCATGGCATGTGATGCTAGGAAACAACAGACTTTTCATATTAGCATTTCTCAAGTCTTGACCCTTTAGTATGCTTTACTCATTCATCTCTCTTTGACATAAACTGTTGGCATTTATATTTTGGAAAAGCTAATATCATCTTTCATAGCCTTGCCCAGATTTCATCAGCTTCCTGAGTTTGATCAAGGGAAAAGAAGTTGCCGCAGGCGACTAGCTGGCCATAATGAACGTCGGAGAAAGCCCCCACCCAGCTCTCTCTTAACCTCTCGTTATGGCAGAATCTCTTCATCTGTTTTTGGTTAGAAACTATCAGTGAAATATAAATTCAAGTCTCTCTACTTAACTTTTCCATAGGGATGCATATTTAGTTTCAGCCTGCGTTATTCCTGGCACATAAATCAAATACTAATATTTGGCATATTTATTGACAGATAACAGTGGCAGAGGTGGCAACTTTCTGATGGAATTGTCGTCGTACCCAAAACTTAGTCTGAGAAATTCACTTCCAACACCTAGATCATCCGAGCTAGTTCCTGGAAATCAAACCACAACACTTAACTGGCAGGGGAACTCAGAGACACCACCTGACCTTTTCTTGCACGGTTCAGTGGGTGGAACAAGCTTCCCCGGTCCTGGACATCCTCCAGGGGAAAGTTACACCGGAGTCACAGACTCAAGCTGTGCTCTCTCTCTTCTGTCAAATCAAACATGGGTTTCTCGAAACGCAGCACCAAGTCTTGGGTTGAGTAACATGATAAATTTCAATGGGACACCCATGACACAACTTGCCGCAGCGTCTCATGGTGCAGCCATCCATCAACTTCCAAATACCTCATGGTGTTTCAAGGGCATTGATCCCGATAACTGTTCACATGAGGTTGTCCCTGATCTAGGCCTCGGTCAAATTTCACAGCCTCTCAACAGCCAACTTCCTGGGGAGCTCGATCTGGCACAAGGCAGGAGGCATTATATGGATCTAGAGCAGTCCAGAGCCTATGAATCTCCTCATTGGTCACTTTAATGCACTTGTTTGCTGTCAAGTTTGTAATAACATGTTGCACAACTGTGTGTCATATACTATTGCTTGTTTTGGTTTGTTTAAACTGATAAACAAGGTGGTAGCCTTGCTTTGTTTGTGGAACTTTTGGGCACGAAATGAATTATCTGGGTGTGTTCTGTTGCTGTCTTTAGCATAGTTATTGTGTCTTCTGCCATTTTTTTGTAGCTACCTCTTGAATTATTAGTGATTGGGAGGAATGCCAATTTGTGGTTTGCTACCTCTTCTTCAAGTTATTTGATATTAACTGACTTTCTGTAAACAATGTTGGTACACATTGCCCACCTAAGAGTATTTCCACAGCTTTTAAGTGTATGGTTTGGAGAACAAAATTTAGTGTATTTTCCAACACGATTAGGGTCATAAAACAATGGCCAAAATTTTAATTTAATTAGAGTTAATTTAATATGTAGGTCTCAAAACTATTTGAAAATTATAGAATAAAATTGTTATATTTTAAAAATTTGTAAGTAGGTTTTTGAACTTTTAATTATTTTATTTTAATTGTCTATATGCAATGAAGTTTTAATGGAGAAATTCAATTAAAAATTATTTAGAAGTTTAAAGGTTTTGTTATAAATTTTTTAAAGTAGAGACTTATTTTGGAATCTTTAAATAATTTAGAGGCCTATAAATTAATTTAACTTTTAATGAAGAACAATACAAAAAAAAAAAAAAATACTTAAGATTTTTTTCTCGAAACAATTTAAATAATTGAGAATGGCCGAGGACTATCTTTTTAGAATACCAAGAAATCAACTTTATTTATAAACATCTTTTAGTATGCAACTAATATAGAATTGTTGGAAATAATAGTTAATGTATTTGATAAATAATATGTTCATGTATACGCGACAAAGTGTATTTAGTGTTTGAGAATTGGTATTTAGAAAGTTTATTAATTTTATTAGGAGGTTCAATATATATGGATGCAGAACATGACCAATGAACACAATTTCTTTATAAATTATCTCAAACATTTTGTTCAATCTTTCTCCTCTTCCCTCTTAATTTAACAAGAGCATTTAGTATTGTTATTTCTATTTTCATTTTTCTTTTCAATCACCCCATTCTCAATAATTTGAACCATCGATGCCAACTAAAACACAATCATGCTCAAGGTAGAACTTTCATTTTATCCGAATCCAATCTTAGCTATGGAATTGGAAATTCCAAGCCATCATGATTCATGAGCACCACCTTCATAGTGGCACTGTGGCGACCTTTTTCCATCGTCTACCACTTGGAATTGTGCCATCATTGTGCCACTATAAGACGACCCAAAATATAGCCTCAGTTTTTCCGTGCCTACAAAACCTCCATTTGATACCTTAAAAAAAATATTTTGAATAATCTTTTTTCATTATCATTTTTCTTGTTGATGCACATGCTTCCAAAGAACCCAATAATTAGTGTGGGGAATTATTGTTTGGTATTCCAAATAACAAGATCTTGACTTGTTTAACTTAAATATTTATTCGAAATTATTCTCTCTCTCTTTTTTTGTGTCATTTTTTGAAATGATTATTCACAAATACTACAGAAACTTTAGTAGAAACCGCGTCTCACACACTCCATCAATCATTTATAAATGGGCTCACTTCCCCAACGAAGCCCAGATTAATTCTTCAAATTGGGCTGAATGAGAGATGCTTGATCAACAAAAGCCCAGTGGATTTATCATTCATACTAATTGGTCCTATAGTTTGTTTCGCGCCAAAACTAACGAACAGATAGCAACAGTGTTCTCCTCCGCGAATAAACAGTTGAAAGCACCAATCTCACGGTCACCGTTTAATGCATTCTTGATTGGTTTTTCATTTTCTTTTTTTCCCCTTAAAATCTTCTCTTTCGTTCAGTTCTGTTCCGAGCAAGAACAAATCGTATGTTTGTTTTGGAACTTAGAGAGCAAGAGAAAAGCAAAGAGAATTTACTGATGATATTTCCAACAAAGTAAAACACGGAGTATTCTTGACGAACTGTTCCGATTCTTAGGAAAATGGTTTGCGACTTCCTCCATCTGCCTAGTCTCTACCTCCTTGTTTTCTCGTCCATTTTGATTTCTCAGGGCTTGGCGTTCACTTATCCATCTGAAGGTAACTCAATTAACTGTTTCTTCTCTCTTCAACCGTTATATATATATATATAACTTAGAAACGGAAAATTTTTCAGAATCAGACGTCGTCACATCATGCATTTGGTTGCTTGCTACGAAAATTGACATACTATTCTAAACTTGCTAGTGGTTGAGGTCTTCAAGACTGTAATTATCCGATTTAGTTATTATTTGTTTTAACATTATTTGACATGCACAAATACGGAGTATAATATTAATCCATAAATATATTAATTTTTAAAAAACTTAAGATACAGGTATGACAAAAAAGTAAAATATATTCTTTATATAAATTACTTATATTCGTTAATTCTTTTTTTTTTTTGGGTATATCGAATATTTATATGCGTTTCCCGTCATCATATATTCCTATTGATCTTTTAAAATTTATCGAACAAATAAAATTATAATTAAATTTAAATGAAAATATTATATTCAAGCTTTAATGCGATGCAGTTGTATGTTACGCGTATAAAAAAATGTGGTGAATTTTGAAGTATGCGTAAACTGCGTATTTGTGGTGCTTTTTGGATAAACAGTGTCAGCTCTCCAGGATCTATACAGGGCCTTAAACTACCCACCGGTGCTCCAAGGATGGAATGGTAGCGATCCTTGTGAGGAATCTTGGACAGGAGTTGCTTGTTCTGGCTCATCAGTTATACACCTGTAGAGCTCCAAGTTCGCTGATTATATTTCCTATTTACATAGGTCATAATGCCATTAATAACTGTTAGCTGTTATCACTGTCATCATGCAGGAAAATTCGAGGATTGAACCTTACTGGCTATCTTGGAAGCCTGCTTTATGATCTCCGTAACTTGAAACGACTGTGAGTGTTTGTATGGCATAGGTTCTTATCAGTACATTTTAATGTCAAGAGCTGCTATTTATTTACTTCCATATTCTGCTGTCTGTAGTGATGTTAGTTCTAATAACATAGTGGGCGAAATACCATTCGGTTTACCCGCCAATGTCACACATATGTAAGTCAGCTGCTCCTCACCTTGTTCCCGCGGGATTAAATTATAATATTCTATGCTTGCTGTTGCTGATAAGCATGCCTGTGTATATATAGCTGTGTGTTGTTCTCATGATTCTGTATTGAAGAAATAAAGCTTGCATTCTTGCAACTATTTGAGCTAAAATATCCCACATTCATTGGCAATCATAAAAATCTATGGGCATATGTGAGTTTATAGGGAATTCTTTCGTTGGAAAGGTACTTCGTTTGCAGTTTAGTCCCTGATATAAATTTTCTGTTTGATTCGGTTTTTAAGTTATTTAAACTTGCTTCATGTTACTCCACATCAGAGATAATTAAAGGAGTAACATGAAACGGGTTTGAATCATTTAAGGATTGAATATTACGCACAATTAAAATCTGGGACTAAATTGTGAGAAAGTATATTTCTAAGGACCAGAATGCCAGTTTACTTGCTAGATTATTGTTGATTTTAGACTAAGCTTGTGATAATACAATAACCAGAAAATCAATTGAAGTTCATTTCTTTATATTTTCTCATCTCTTAAGCATGATATAGTGATTTAGCTATACCAATGGCTGTTAAATCATTATTTGTATCTTGCCTTGCAGGAATTTAAGCCACAATTTCTTAAATGGGCCCATTGGTGATGTCTTTACTGGCTTAGATAATCTCAAAGAAATGTATGTTTTTTCTCCTTGGTCTTTTGCTCTTTGGATAAATATAAACTAAATAAGCGATTCAACCGGTACAGAATTTTAGGTACTTGAAGCCTTCAAGATCCGTGAGAACGAACCTTCAATACAATCTAAACCTTCTCAATTTTTAAATATTCGTGATGGATCAAATGGTATGAGTGACACTATAACTACATAAAATATGTAAATAAAAGTAAATCGTGCAACCCAAAAATATATAAAACAAACCCAAAATATTGATAGTTTGTCCTCTTTACTGCTATATTTTGTAGGAGAAACGCATTCGATAGTTGACAAGCGCCAGAAAAAGGCGGATGCTTATGAAATTATAAAATATTTTCTAAGGTTTAGCTGAAGTCAAGCCCTCTTTTTTTTTGAAGAATATATAATAAAAGTTGATCTGATTGAATTGTGAGAAAGTGAGACAACAAAATGCAAACACTTTGATTCTTTTGTAAAACAAGAAATGCTAGCAACATACTTTTAAACGTTATTATTAGGTGAAATTCACTTAGGACCTCTAAGGAAGTGGGATCTGTTGAACAGGGAGTAGGATTCACATGAATTTCAGTGTATTGAAAAAGAAAATGTGTTGATAGCATTCTTCTTTCTTCAAATTTCGTTGTATGGAACCTCACAAAGGATGATTTCCTTTCTTTAGGGACCTTTCATACAATAATTTCTTAGGTGATCTGCCGTGTTCATTTGGTTCCTTAAGAAACCTTGCTAGATTGTAAGTTTCTTCTGTCTGATGCCTTGTCTTTTTATTTTTCTAAACTTGATTTATGTTTCTTCTCATATACTCAAGAGGCAGAAGTTGCTTCTATAGGGTTTGTTTGTTTGATCTGTAGAGTGGTGCTTATTTGCAGGTTCCTGCAAAATAACAGATTCACTGGAGCGGTCGCTTACCTGGCTGAACTTCCACTAACAGATTTGTAGGGTTATTATAAACATTTTCCCATTGTATATTACTATATTTTCAGTCAGTCCTATTCCGTGCTCATTTGTCCATATTTACAGGAACATTCAAGATAATCTGTTCAGTGGCATTCTTCCACTGCATTTTCAATCCATACTGAATTTATGGTCAGTGGAAAGTATTACAAGTTTGATTTTCTTGCATCAAATGAGATAATGAACTCATAACATCGAATAATCTCCCTCTATACCTTCAATCAGGATTGGAGGGAATAAATTCCGTGCAGAGGACAACTCGCCTTCGTGGACTTTTCCTCTGGACACTGTATCAGTTAAGCATAACGCTAGCAGCCCACCCACAACTCAGGCAAATGCCATTAAGAATTATGCTCCTCCCAGATTAAATGACGCGCCTCCCAGAGTAAATGATGCTCCTCCCAGGGTAGATGATGCTCCTCCTCTTCCCATGGTAAGTGAGCAGAAGACGAAACATATAGGTCGTGGAGGAATAGCAATTATGGTTGGAGGAGGAACACTAATGGCCACAGGTATGGTGCTCTTGGTTGCAATCCGTTTGAATAAACTGCAAGCAGAGAGTCAGAGCTTGAAGAGCTCCGAAAGCAACCATGGCTCTTTGCTTTCTCATCCGACCAGTGCAACCATAGGTAATTCGTACAGAAAAGCATATGCACTGCGAGTCACTTTATCTCCCACTTGTCATGGTTGAAAATCGAGGGTACCTTGATAAAATTTAGAGCAAAGAATACAAGAAAATTATGATATTTTTAGTTGAATATTCACTAGTGTGTAATAAATTGCTACCTCTCTCGGTTAGTATGTGATTCAATTTAGTATTTCTGTGAGTTCATTTTTCTATCGTTAATTATGCTTATTTTTCCCCCTCTGGTGATAGAGGTCTCTTCTACCGCACTAGATGAGAGCCCACAAATCCCCCCTTTTAACTCTGCATCTCATTCGGAATTGGATCCAATGCTATTGCCTCCCCTGAGCCAGAACAATACAGAGGAACTATCAAGAAGAAGTTTTTCTAAACGAGGCAGATCCACTGGAAGAACGAAGATTTACACAGTAGCGGAGCTTCAGGTGGCTACTAACTGCTTCAGTGAAGGCAACCTTCTGGGAGAGGGATCTATTGGTCCTGTTTACAGAGCTAAATTTCCAGATGGCAAAGTAAAATCTTTAGCTATCTTTTAAACACTACTCTTCTTTTTATCACGTTCATGTTTCAAACTTTTGCTTTTAAATCATGCTAACTTATTTTATGTTGAAGATTTTGGCCGTGAACAACATAAACATGGCGGGCCAGTATTTCAGAGAAGAGGAAAACTTCTTGGATGTCATTTGCACAGTTTCCCGACTGAAGCACCCCAACATCGTAGCACTCCACGGTTACTGTTTGGAGCGCGGAAAGCAGCTTCTTGTTTACGATTACGTTGGTAATTTAACTCTAGACGATGTTCTTCATAGTGAGCCATACAAACCTCTGTCGTGGATTCAACGTCTTCGGATTGCTCTGGAAATTGCTCAGGCTCTGGAGTAAGGCATAGAAACTTAATACTCCTTAATATGAAAGTAGAGTCTGAACAACTCTGAAACCTAACGCAAATGTTTCCAGCTATTTGCACTCAGCATTCAGCCCTCCTGTGACCCACGGCAACTTGAAGGCTACCAATGTCCTGCTGGATGAAAATTTGACGCCTCGCGTATGTGATTGTAGCTTGGCTATTTTGAGACCACTCAATCAAGTTAAAATTCCGGTAACTCATTGCTAAGGTTCTGGTTGCTGAAATTATTCATAACATTGATAACAAGCTGAAAGATGACTCATCGATCGATAACAGTTACATTTGCTACTGTTCCAGTATAAAGTTTGAACATCAGGGGATGTGTTTTTTTTCTTGTTCGATAGTTACTCCAATTTTTTCAGGAATAATTAATTCCGGTACTTTTACCGAGTTATAGTAGCTAAAAGCTGCTTAAATTTTATAAACCAAATGTTGCAAAGTGAATAAGAAGTTTGATAAAGATCTTTCTAAGAATGCCCATAGGTCCACTGATCACTTTGCTGTTGGAAACAGGCTACTGAGATTATTATTGAAGAGAGAGGCTACGTTGCACCAGACCATGGACAACCAGGATCCAGTAGCAGAAAGAGAGACGTTTTTGCCTTTGGGGTATTGCTTCTGGAGCTCTTAACAGGAAGAAAACCTTTCGATGGGTATGTTATTTGTCTATCTTGCTGTGTTCTGTATGTTTTGTTATCTCGGCCAGCACCAAAGTAGTTGGATTTGAATGTTGGGCCCCTCTTCAATTTTCTTCCATTCCTACACAGAGCAAGGCCAAGGGAAGAGCAATATCTAGCGAAATGGGCTTCACCCAGGCTTCGTGATAGAGTGAGTTTGGAGCAGATGGTCGATCCCGGTATGAAAAGAACATTTTCGTTCAAGGCTCTTTCTCATTATGCTGATATCACCTCACTCTGTATACAGGTATTAGCACTTAAATGCCCGTAATAGGTTAAGCTTGTTAAATAATTGAATTTTCTTAACTGTTGCCATTTTGACTCTTGAATGAAATCTGTTTTTCCTGTCACAGGCAGAAAGGCAACTCCGTCCTCCAATGTCTGAAGTTGTGGCGTCTCTTGTATCTTTGTACCAAAAGTTCAACATTGAAAAGAGTGGTGTTGTAGATGGTACTGAATTCGATCCGCTTGAGAGATCTTTCCGTTCAACCAACACACGCTTTATGGTTTCACCAACAATAAGCCATGCATCAGCATGATGTACAACATCAGTGGCTGCACAGTTGCAAATTTCAATGTCGATCGGATGACATTAACGTGCTAGAAATTTGAGGTTGATTTCTGTGCTGCCATTTTCCCTTGTAAATAAGGGTCTATGAGGAACATGGCTTTTTTAATCCGTTTGTGCAGACTTACTACATGAATATCCAATAGTCGCCTTTTGAAAGTGTAAAGTCAACTAGCTTGTTTTGCCATGTAACCAACCTACGATTCGAAGATTGGGTTGAAGGCGGCTAAAAAGCGAATCAATGAGCATTTTGTAATCCTTTATACGCAGACTTGTTACTATTTTATATACACTCTTAGTCATGTTTAATTAAAATAAGAGGATCACTTTCATATGACGTGTATTAAAAATAAGTAAAATTGAGATAAAAATTTAATTTTTATTTAAAAAAAACTCTACAGGTATTTAAAGAACAATACCCGAGTTTTGTTCTTTGTAAAGCAATTTAAAATACCTTAAACTGTCCTTCAGCCTTAATTAGAAAAGAAAAATATCTTGTGAACGCATAAATGGAATGACGGAAAAGTTATTTTCTTTTATGTGGAAGTATATTTTTTTAGTGAATAGAAAATAAAAATAATTACATGTGATATCAGATATGATATCATTTTTTTTATATTTAAATAATAAATTTGATTAAAAAATGACATTACTTTCCTTCCTATCTAAATACTCTTTTTCTTTTGATCTACTTTCAATAAAAATATTTTAGCAAAAATTAATTTCCTTTTGTTAATGTTTTCATTTTAAATATTAAAACTTTTTATTAAGGCAAATTTTCAATTAAAGAAACAACAAAAGATCAGATAATTTGCATGCTTTTTATAAAGCTGCACGATTAAAGAGCTTTTTTGGGTGAATACAGAAGATATAATTTAATTTCACTTCAAAAAGAACAGCTACAGAAGATTGTAAAGAATTCATTTAAAAGGTTAGAATATTTAAAAATTAAAATATAAATAATTTATTAATTATGTAGATAAATATTATTCATTATTTTTTTACTAAAGCAAAATTGTTTTCGTGTGGAATAATATGCTAATTTGAATTATATTTAGTGGCATATTATGGTAATGATTTTAGTCAAATTACATTTCACAGTTAAAAACTTGTTTTCGTTATGATTCTTACGAAATCATAATTTTTATTGGCAGCTTTGAGTTTAATTTATTTTTGAGAAAGTATTGAATTCAAGCTTGCTTTATTATCAATATGATCTACTTTTAGTTTACATTATGGAAAAACAAAAAGAATCATTTTATTTTATTTAAAACTATTAAAATAAAATTTATTTAACTTTAAATGACTTGATTTAATTTATTTGAATATTATTTTTTTTATGATTAAAATGTATTCGATTAATTAAATTTATTTTCTAACAATTATAACTTGTTAACAATCTCATCTTGAAAATCAAGTAAATATGTACTAGCATTCATAATTATTAACATGCCCCCGCTTAATTCTTAGAAAAATATTAATATATATCTTCAAGTATGTTTTATTTACATTATTGTTGAAAGAAATTGAAAATATGATAAATTTTCCTCAACAACAACAATAATAACAATAAAATAATAATAAAAGAAGAAGAAAAATTTGGGGGCAGCGCGAGTAGGAGTAGTAGTGTGTGCAAGTAAGTCGCCACGCTGAGCCGAGACCGAGTTTACACTTCGGAGTAGCCACCCTTACCCCAACCTCCTCTCTACTTTCTCTTCTCAATTTCTCACTGGTAATTTTCTTCTTCATCTACATCGTAATTCTGCGTGCGTGAATTCTCTTCTCTTTATTTCATTGTTTATGCATCGTTTTAGGGTTTTCAATCTGATTTCCTTTTAAGTGGCACAATGGTCCTCGATCTGAATTTATGATTCTTATTATTTCTATGCTTCGTTTTCTGTTGCCTTTTTTCCTTGTTTTTCCAATTGGACTCGTGTTATTTCCCCGTTTGGAGTTCATCTTTTTCTGGATCCATTATCATCGGGTCTTATCGTAGAATTGGTTCGGCGTTTTTTCTCCATTAGTTATTATTACCACCACTGTTTCCAACAACAGATAATTATATCAATGAAACAATGTTCAACGAGGTGTTCTTGAAAGTTGAAATTTATCACCGATACGCCACAGTGACAAATAATGCTGTGCGTTTGTGCGTGAGTGTGCTTTCTAAAAGCGATATGATTCTCGCTATCAAAATGGTCCTGTTAGTAGAGGATAAAATCTGTTTTCCCTGTTCTACGTGAGAGGTAATTGCTTGTAGTCTATAAGGCTGTGATAACTTTATCTTCTGACCTGATTCATAAGTAATAGTAGTAGTTTGATCATTTGTCAGAGATCTAAATTTTTTATTGGGCTTATTACGTTAACACCACTTGAGGTTAAACAAAATTTCACCTGATACCCCTCTTTTTCTTGACATTATTTTGACCTTCCTTGATTCATATAATTGCATAAGAAGATAGGGATAGTTTGTGTATTTAAGAAGGGTGAGCGATGTTGTGTCATTATATAAATTAAGGGAGGTTTCTGTAGGGTCAGAAAAATAAGGAGTATTGGGTGAAATTTTGTTAAACCTCTGGGAATGTGAGTGTGATTTACTCTTTTTTTAATTTGTTTTGCAGTATTTTGTTGGTGTGCAGAGAAAATCATGGTAGACCCTGCAGAACGTAGGTACTTGGAGGATGAGGATTCATCAATCATGAAAACTATTAAGGGTGCAACAACTGGTTTAGTTGCTGGTACTATCTGGGGTACTGTAGTTGCCACCTGGTATGATGTCCCTCGTGTTGAGAGAAATGTTGCCCTTCCAGGGCTGATAAGAACTTTCAAGATGATGGGCAACCATGGTTTGACCTTTGCTGCCATAGGAGGAGTCTATATAGGTGTGGAGCAGTTGGTGCAGAACTATAGGATGAAGAGGGATTTAGTCAACGGAGCTGTTGGTGGATTTGTTGCTGGTGCAACTATTCTGGGTTACAAAGGTAACCCTTTTCTCTAATAAATATTTATGTTTGAGAATTTGCATATTTTAATATCTGGATTCTGAAACCTGGTACTGTTATTGAGCTATGGATTAGTTGTTGATGATGATGAAAAAAGTTCAATGTATTTTTTATTCTATAATATAAATTAGCCTAATTAGGCATGTAATGGAGAAGCATCATATGAACAAGGACATGATCTAATTCATTTTGAAAATTAGTCTATGTGAATGTTGCGTTTTTTCTTCTTTTTGACATGATTATGTCATTGTGCTGGATGACCACTGGTGCTTTTGATGTCTAGCAAGGAAGCCAATCTATCATTGGCTCTTGGCTTGCAAGAATTGATCTTCTTGTGGTTGTACTTGTATTTATGTGTTTCTATGTAATGGGGGAAGGGGAATGTGTGACTAAACCTTTCTTCAGCACCCCTTATGTTCGTCTTATGTCATTTTAGGTTGTCGTAGATAGCTTGTTGGTTTGTCAATTTGTACTGTTTTTCTGTTACTTGGGGATCCTTGTATTTGTAGTATTTGTCTCCAGTGATTAATTTTTCTGTATTGATTTCATTCAATTGTACATGGTTAATTGGTTGGTAGTAGCGTGATTTTTTATGAGAATGTGAAATTTATTTTTGTAGAAACTAGAATTTAATAAGTTATAATCCATGTTATAATTTGCAGATGTCTGCCTTTCATTTTACTGCATGCTATTGTAGGAATTGAATGCTGGGCAAAAAAAGGCAACAAGAGAATAAACTCAATGTAATAGAGATAAACATATTGCTTTTGATGTTATTAGAAAAAATTTTGTGTTGAATGAGTGGACGTACTCAATACAATATGATTAAAAATGAATGTATTAGGCAAAAAGTTGGGATGGCTCGTACTGTAGAAAAGATGGTAAAATCTTGCCTTAGGTGGAATGGGCATGTGTGGAGAAGAAGTCCTGTAGAATTCCTAGTAAGGAGTGTAGGTCAAATGGAGGGTAGTCCAGTCACTAGAGGCAGAGGAGACCAAGGAAAATTGTAGGCCAAACAATTGAGAAGGATTTGATGGTAAAAAATTTACCTATAGAAATTATTTATGACAAAACATTATAATATTGTTTGATTCATGTAGTGTATCCCTGCTAATGAGAAAAGGCTTGACTGCAGTTGTTGTATACAAATGTTTAGTAATTTCAGTGGTTACTTTTTTTTGGTCTTGTTAAGCAATGGTGCTATGTTTATTTCATGCATTCAAGGATGCTTTTTCCCTGATTTTTTCTGTTCTTTGTGTGTTTATCTTTGTGTTTCTGTATACACGTGCTGCAAGTTTCTTCAGTCATTATGGATAAAGCAGCACCGTATTGGATAAAATGTTCATTGAATTAGGTATTGCTTGCTTCTTGAATTATTTAGTTTGACAATATATGCCTTAAATTTTCAAAAGGACAATCTTAGCAATAGAAAATTCTGACAACAACTCATCATTTCTTCTTGGCTACTGACTTTGTATGGAGTTATTAATAATTATATAATGTAATTTTTCACTGGTTTCTGTCCTATTTTATTCACTGGGAAGTAGGATCTATTCAAATGTGTATTATTAGTGTTAGGATTTTTGTGGAAATCCTTTACTTCAAGTTTCTTAGTGTATAAAAATGAATAAATTGGAGGGTTTTGTGAGGACTTATTATTTTATGCCTTTCATTTTAAAAATTTCTTAAATTAAAAATATTTAATTGAGATGAAAAATGTAATCCCCCCCCCCCTCCTGCTCCTTTTCGCTTCAAGTTCTCCATGCCAAGCATACCCTAAATATTTATTAGTTTCTTGTCATCACTATTGACCTATACTGCAAATTTGAAATTTTCTTTCAAGTCTCCATTTGTCTGAATATAATAGAGAATCATTTGAAGTCTGATCCTGGTTGACCCATTTTGACATTTAGTACATGAAATACCCATGGATTGCGTCTTTTTGCATTTCCCTTGTCAGCTGCATTTGGGTCTAATTTAGGCATGCTACCTGTGTATGGTGTTCAACCCTTCCTTTATAACCTTCTTAAGAAGTGTGCTATGTTACCTTTCTGGATCTGATATGAATTACTAAACCAGAATTTCATACATTATAATCTAAATAAGCTCCCCGGATCTGCTTTTCTTCTAGCAAGCTTTATGCTGTTCATTCTATTGTAGGAAGGAGCATATCAACTGCAATTTCTGCAGGATCAGCATTGGCATTCACATCTGCTGTTCTTGATTTCGGTGGTCAGACAATAAAACATGATACTGGGAAGGAGTACGCTGCTTACACTACAAAGAAAAGATCAAGTCCTGATGCATAATTATTAATTTATGCACCCGTATGACCGAAGACATTTCAAGTTGATAGGAAAGAGTGGATAACTCTTTGTTGAGCCAGTTGTTTGTTTTGAGTTGGAATTACATACTCGGCTGTCTTTCCATATTGTTTCTTTTGTAAGTTGTTGATGCTGAAGTGGTTAAATTCCAATAAATATGCTATTATGGTGTTAATTTAAATTTTACATATTAGTCCTCCATAACCATAGATTAGTAATAGTCGATGTTCTTCCTGATGAAGTGATGAGATTGAAAACCAAGAAGTTGAAACATCTAGTAGAGCTTTGTTTTATAGCTTCTGTATTCTCAACACAATATGAATCATGAACGATAATCTTAAGCTTTAAGATACGTGTACTGCACCCAACGATGATGGTAACTAGTTTTTGCCCTTCAACCATTCAATATAGGAAGTAATAGAAATGGTATGTAGAGACCTCGAGCTGATTCATAGTGCAAATTCTCTCATCATTGCATTTAAGCTGGTGATGAACTCTAACATTGCTCAGGAGAGAGATATATTTCAAGGTTTTTCGTTTTATAAGAAGCATGTTTAAGGTTAGCTTTTGACATAAACAAGTGGTACCATAATTCAAGGCTTTCACTCACATGGGCATTTAATTTGTTTGATGATTAAAACAAATTTGTCATTGAAATTGTTATATCTTAGTTCAATTTTGAGTGAAAACAGTTGTATTAAATATTCGGAAGGGAGTTTGTCATCCATAATAGTTTTATTTGACTTAAATAGAATTATCTTTAATAAAAGATATTTGTAGTCTAGATAAGAGAGAGAAAATACAAAGTGATATCTAAAAGACTAAAGTGTTAGCTTAACTTATGAAGAGAAGCTGCTTTTGATTAACTAAATGCAAGAGATGACACTTTGATGTCCTAAGTTAGGTGAAGAGTGAGAACTAAAGCAATTATGTGAATTAACAAGCTTTGGAATATAATCACTTTGCACATGCATCATAGGCACTAAGAGTGATGATGACATTGACTAAGAAAGGGGAAAAAAATTGAGTGATCAAAAGATGCCCTTTGAGACCACCCGCTATGTGTGACAACTTTCACCAAAATAGGTCTGTTTACCCTTTGCACAAATAATTATACCTATTTTAGATTACTTATTAGCACTTTAGCTGCCTAACAAGACTCTCCAAAAGCAAGCACATACCAAAGCCCCAAAAGAGGAACAACAAGAGTACTACATGTCTTCTTAGAAATCATTGCCCTTCAATATAGTGATTTACGCCCAAAGCCACCTCTTGAGTAAAGCTTATATTCTCAACACCACCCTCGATATGGTGAATGAATATCTATTTTTAGATTATGCTAAGATCTTAAAACCGTTCAACCATTAACCCTTTAAAAAAATATCTAAATATAAGAATTGACTTCTTTTCTTCTAACATTGTCTTGTACTAATTGAAAATAATATAGTTCTCTCTAAGGCAAAAAGGAAGAAATACGTAATGCGCAGTGAAAGTGCAAATGTATGTCAATAAAGACGACTACTAAGATCTGGGTGCTGCAATAAAGGCAACTATAGTTTGAGCACCTAATGCACAACGACAGTGCAAATGTAAGTCGTAATAAAGATGATTGCTAGGGTTTGAGTGTTGCAATAAAGATGGTTAGAGTTTGAGTGATCGGGATGTATAATACAAAAGCAAAGACTCCAAGATTAAAAGCTCTAATATCATCTAAAAAGTTTGATTTGTATAATGAATTTATATTATAATTTACAAATATACGAGTCTAATGTTAATATTTAAATAAGATGATATTGTATATTATCTTTTAATAGTCATTGAGATAATAATAAATAATTATAAAGATAATGATAATAATTAAATTTTAATAATTAAAAAATATTCTCTACAGCTTGACATACCCAATTTTTGTCTAGAGCCTAGTAGACTAGATGTTTGATAGACTAATGTAGAGTCATGCTTGCTTGCAAGCCAAAGCAACCAAGGCACATCATTGTCCAATACTTAGTGAGATTTGTCTTTCATTGTCTAGAAGATGTTTACTACCAAAGCCACAAGCAAAGATGTTTGCTCTTTAATCTCGCCGCTAGATATTGATACACACCAAGCTTACGACATCTAAAATCTTTCTTCTATGATTTTGTATCGTTTGTAATATTTTCAAAGAAGTACTTTTCGTGTCTATAACTTAAGCTTATTGTCATTATAAGTCAATTTTAAGAGTTTAACTTATAGTGGTACCATAATTACATTGGAAGTATAATAAAATAAAATAAGCAAGAATTTTTTAAGATGCTTGTAGAAAATATGGGTGCTACATGTGGGATAATTCTTGCAAATATCTAAGTAACTTGCAAGAAACCTTGTTAAAAGTGGTCTAAGTGTCAAAGTTTGAATGGTTAGAGTAAGTTTAAAAATAAGAAATTGGTTTAGTTTAAAATTTTTTTATTTTAAATTTTATAAATAATTATAAAAGTATTTTATTTTTTTTTACTTTACTTCTTAATTTCAAACATTTCTATTAAAAATGATTCCAACATGATTTTAATTTTATAATTATTTATAAAAATATAAAATATACAATACTTTTTCGAATGGAACATGCCTTAAAATATTCCATCCTAACTCAGAAACCACTAACATACAAGAAGGGGTATGCAGAAATTTAATTGTAATTTTTTAATAATGTGAAAATGTAACTCGGTTAGAAATTAGTTTTACTGCGTTATACACTCCAATTTACACATTGTTGTGGCCTTAAACTTGTTAAAAGCATTTGTTGATTTTGTATCGTAACTGTCGTTATACTGTTGGGTCGTATTATTCTTACTTCTACATATATTAGATTAGATCTAAATTTTCTATAATTTTGATAAAAATTACAGTCTGCAGTTTAAATTTATTTAAGTAAAATTAACAAAAAGTAACTTTTATTTAACTAAAAGAAAATTTAATTTAAGCGAATTTGATATAATTTTGCTTAAGTCAAAAAATTCGTTTAAGTTAAAACTGTAAAAAATTTTAATATTTTATTTTATTTCTCTCTAAACTATAAAAAATTTAAGAAATATTTATTTCTCATCAATGACTACTTAATTATCAAAGTTTCTTACATATATCATTTCACTAAATATTTTAAATATATTTTTTAGTGTACTACTTGTATTAAACATTAGTGAAATAAAATTATTTAGAATTAAGTTAAATTATTAAAAATAGTGATAAGAATTATAAAAATAATGACTTTAAGAAATTAGTTGAAATATAATTACAGTATTATATATTTTAAAATTTTTAATTTTTTGTGGTATGATTATAAAATGTAACTAGCACAAAATTTTTCAAATTATCTATAATTTAAATTGTAAGTGTGTTTATTAAACCTATTAATTAGTATTTAAAGTTTAACTTATTAAGAGTTTAGAGATTTCTTTCTCTACTAACTATTATAATAATAATTTTTTAATGTATGATTACAGTAAAATAATAAAATATTAATAAATAATATTTTAAAAAAATTAGGGTATTTAACATTATTAATGTATTAGACTTTATAAATTTTATAATTTGTAATAAAAATTACTAAAGATAAATTTTTATTATATAGTCTACTCGTTAAAAAAATATACAGCTTTTTGCTTCAATTTTGGGGAAAAATGACCTTTTTAATTTTACAAAAAATGTTTTTCCAAATTGAACTGTTAACTATTACACTAATAAGTGGAAACAAGGAAGCACCGAGTGCGTACTCCGTGAAGAGGTTGTATATATAAAAGCTTAAAGGCTCAAGATTAGAGAAGATACATCCCTCGGATCAAGTGTAGTTTCCACGTGGCAGAAAGCTATTGCTGATCCCAAATTTCATGGCCCACCAAATTTAACAAGTGGCTTAGGTGAGTTAGCTTTGAAAGGCTTGTTTGGTTAAGTTCAGAGGGATAAGAATAACATAAATTTTAATGCCATGGCAGGGACTGGTTTCTACACCTCCTGTCTTTCCTCCTCCAGGTAACGCACTCATCTTATCTTTATTTTTATTTGACATATTCAATGGTTATAGTCATAGCATAACCAATTCATTAACAAGAAAACAAGTTCCAACATTTTAAAATTTTATATTCTGCCTTACAATTACAAATTAACCATGTTCATGAAAACAATAAAGGGCAAGCTTAATTCATGTTTCAAAATCTCTGTGGACATGGTTGTGAGGATTAAAGTTGTTTTTTCAGCAACTTAGGGACATGTTGGTTGGTATTAAAAACTCACAATGCAAGGGCCGTGCCAGGGAATCTGAAACTACACGGAAGGAGAAGATTGACAATACAAGCAGAAGTGAATTATGTAAATGCTGAAAAAGCTAAGGAACTTTTAGAAGTGGATGGATATGTAGTTCTTGATGTGAGGGATAAAACTCAGTTTGAGCGAGCTCACATAAAATCATGTTATCATGTGCCTCTTTTTATTGAAAATAAAGACAATGATCCTGGTATGGAATTTCTCCTTCCAAAATATTTTATATTTGCATATTTAGTTTTAATTCTTCTTCACATTGACTTTCTGTAGGTACAATTGTAAAAAGAACTCTGCACAATAATTTTTCTGGGTTGTTCTTTGGGTTACCATTCACTAAGCCAAATCCTGATTTTGTACAATCTGTTAAGAATCAGTTTTCGCCTGAAAGTAAACTTTTGGTTGTGTGCCAGGAAGGACTGAGGTTAGTTTATGATTTCCTACCAAATTTGGTTGCTAATTTTACCCAATTGTCCATGGTCATGGTGACATTAAGCTTGCATTGATATATTTAGGTCCTTAACTTCGCCTTCTTAGAACATGGATCCCCCAAATCTCCTTTAGGTTGTTTATTTATTATTGGCTTTCAAAATTACATTGTCAGAATATGATTCAGTAACGTATCATTATGTGCAGTCTAAAATTTAATTGTTAGATGAATGAGAATCTGGAGGAGGTGTAGCCTTAGACTGATTATTCAAAGTTATTGGTCACATAGCAGTGAAAGAAGAGATTGCGGTTTTGTCCTCTAAGGATATGAGCTTAGAAGGGGTGAGAAATACCCATTTTGTATTTGAGAGTGTGTTTTCCAGGTACTTTAGCTTGGAAATAAAAATTCATTGAGAAGATTGTCAAATAAAAAATATCTTTTTGGATGATTTGATTTTTGACAAAGAGAGCCACCATAGTCCATAACTATTTATGGCAATGAGTGTGTGAAAAACTCCAAATTTCAAGTTGAATGAGAGGCATGGCTTATGTGAATAAAACCTTGATCTGAGATGTACTTACTTTCTGTAATAAGGAAGATGAAGGTTCCTTTATCTCGCATAAGAAGACAAGATCAAACTTTTTATGTAATGAGTAATGATACACATTTTACGTTAACAAACCACCTTAACATTAATTGCTGAAATTGACCTTTGAAGGAAAGTGTGTTTTGATATAAGTATTTAATAATAGACATCAGCAATTTTAGCCTCATGGTGATTTAAAATTTTCCTATTTTACTTTTAGCCTAAAAAAAAGTTACCTGAATAATTTACAAACAAGGACAACTATTATGTGAGTTTGAGGATAGCAATTGCTGTCAATGACTTTGGTGATTGCTTTCCATTAACAAGAGTGAATTATGCTGCCAAGACCCTTCAGAGCCAACTAGTGTTTCTGCATATATCCTTAAGAATATTTAACAATGTTTGTCATAGTTTCAAGGACTTCAAGATGTCTTACATGTGGGGACAAAATGCTGCATCATTCCTATAAATTTGCATGAGTTGAATTTTGGCTGTACTTTTATTGAGTTTTAACTAAGGTTGTTTAACTTGAGAGTTTACTTAAACTCATAAACTGTCCATAAATTCGACCCACAAACTCGTAACTTCATGTAAAAATAATATTTAGAAACTCATAATACTGAAATAAAGTTTAATAACAAAGTTAACTCATACTTAAATAGCCAAATCATATAATGATAATGTGATTTTAGTGCCATAATTATAAATGTGATGTTTCACAACTTGTAGAAAGGGAAGAAAGTAGTGTTGTCATTCCAAATGGTGTTATTTTGGTGAAAAAATCATGCTTTAATAGCTAAATCATGTTATGATAGTGTGATTTTGGTGCCATAATTATAAATGTGATGTTTCACAACTTGAGGAGAGGGAAGAAAAGTGGTGCTCTCATTCCAAATGGTGTTATTTTGGTGAAAAAAGAATGTGATTCTGCCTTTGTTTTGTTAAACTCCAAAGTCGGGTGTAAACTCCTGAGTTTACCCAAGTTCACCCGAGTTTATCCAAAATCTAGTTTACATGTGATTTGACACGGTTTCCTTATCTAAGATCGTAAACTCAAACTTGTACAAGTTTACGAGTTAAATTGAGAGTTTAACAACCATGGTTTTAACAGCCTAATTTAAGAATATAAGATTTTCTTTCTTCTTTGTGAAGGTCTGCTGCAGCAGCAGATAAGTTAGAGGAAGCTGGTTTCTCAAATGTAGCATGCATAACATCTGGCCTTCAAACTGCAAAACCAGGTTTAGTAATTCATTGACTTATTTTTAGAAGTCAAATTATTTTTTAGGACAAGAAATTAAAGTATTTCCGTTCTGTAGGGACATTTGATTCTGTTGGGTCCACAGAGTTGCAGGATGCTGGCAAAGCTGGTTTGGTGACAATCCAAGGAAAAATCTCAACTGTGTTGGGAACTGTTCTTATTTGTATGTTTTTTTTCATTATCTTTTTATTTCTATTTCTTGATGCTTGTATTAATTTTTTTTTTTTGGGATAAATTTTTCAGGTGCATATTTATTCATTACCTTCTTCCCTGAGCAAGCAGAGAAGCTATTCCAAATGGCCCCTACAGGCTAAGCCTAAAAATTTCATTAATTTTAGTCTTTCTTGATTTTCTTCTTCCCCCCTCATTGTGCATGTAGCATAATTAAGGAACGTGAGAATAGAATTGAGGAACATAATAACATGAAGTATGTATAAAGTGATGGAAGAGTTAGTAATGTCAGTAAGACTATAATGATAAAAAAAACAATTTGTTTATCCCATTGGTGAATGCCCATTTCCAATGTTTAAGATACCATTTTTTTCGAATATGCATTACTAGGACCGTATATTTAGCAGTATTCCATGTACTGAGTGGCCGAACCCGGTATATATTAGCAGTATACCATTTTTATATCTGGTTACCTTGTATTTCAAAAAAGGTGATATGATGTTTTATAAACTTGGAGAAGCACACCACAAAAACTAGCCTCTGTAGTTGGAGAGCTCAATACTTTATAAACCTACACTAGAATTCCATACTTCCAATGTGAAACTCAATCTCATACCTTGCAATTAGGATCCTAACATCACACCACACTCGTTGTGCACTAGCCCCTTAACTAGTCCTGAGCGAATGGAAATATCAGTGTCACCTCCCACTGCAATGCCAGTGTTACTACCTACGTGTTTGTTTGTAGTTGAGAAACATGGTGAAAAGCGTTGACACTACTTGACAAGAACTTTGGGAGAATCACACTATAAAAGTTAGTGATTGTATTTGCAGAGTACAAGGCCTTTTAAACCCTACACTAGAATCTCACACTTCCAGTGTGGAATTCAAGTCTCATACATTGCAATTAGGATCCCAATAATGCCTAACAGATTTTGTAACAAGTTTTAAGAGTATGTTTGAAACATATTCATCACATTATTCTAACAACACGAACTTCTATAATGATTAACTTGAAACATGTAACTAGTTGAATGAATTTGTTAATTTCACTCCTCTAAATGATTGTTTTTATTATGAAAGTATTACTTTGATTGAACTTTATTATAATTTCAATTATTGATTTTTTAATTTATGATTATGCTTGTGAACTTTCTCTGTAAGTAGTTTTTTCACTTTAAGGTTATGCTTGGATTGAGGAAAATAGATAGAATGATAATATCATAATAGAATTCATAAATAAATCATTTAGAAGAGGATAGAATTGTATGAAGTTTCATTAATATGTTTCATTTCATTTCATCTGATATATTTCTTTTTTTTTTTCTCGTTCAACTTGAGGGTAGGAAATGAGACTTTTCTTTTACATTCGGTCATAAAATTATTCAAATAATAGAACAAACAATATTATTTTATTCTATTTTATTTTTTTTCTCGTCTCATTTATGATTAAATATTCATAATATTAATCGAGTAAAACTTGATTTAAAATTACAAAGTTGGACATATGTGCTTTTTAACCAATTTAGCCGTCACTAAGGTATCGAGGCATTCATACGATGATATGATTGTGATAGTTCATATTCACAACACAGGCACCGAAATAAAATAGTTTTAATTTTATGTCCAAAATATATTTAAAAAAAAAACGAGTATATAAATACTTGGTTGGTGTTCTTGCAATTTTGTTGTCAGGCATACATAGAGCACACAGGATGTACCCATTTCTTTTATAATAGGAATAACTAAGCACACTCATAATTTGTTTGATTTTATCTGATCCACTAGATTCACTTCACTTCTAACCTCCACATTTGTTTATCCTTTTGAAAAGATGTGAAAAAGTCTCCAAGTTCAAATATGTTGTCAAAATTCTATTCGAAATAGGAGTTGCTTTAGGCGTATATATATTATTAAATTCCTAGTGATAACTTGAGAATATAATATTTCATTTAGAAATATTTATTTATTCGATTAAATTAAACTCTATAATTTGATAATTGAAATATAAAAATAAATCTTTAATAAAGATTAAAATAATTGTTCAAATATGTGCTCATAAGTTCAACGTTAAGCCGACAGCAAATTAATTTACTAATTAAGTTTGGCACTTAGCAATTTTCTTAAATATCTTAATAATATAAGTAACATTTTATTCTTAAGAATTTTCAGAAGAAATGCAATGTTCATTTTTATAGCTTTAGATTAACTTTAGAGCACGGTATTGCAATCAACTTTAGTAAGTTAATGCATAATTATAGCCAAATAAATAATTACTGTCCAAACCTCAGCAATCTCATGATTAAAAACAATTTAGATTAAAATTGAAAAAAAACTTTCATTTTTATCGTGGTAACAAGTCTCTAGTTTTAATCGAGGTGAGAAAACAGCAAATTTTACCTTAACTTTAAATATAAATTAATAGCAACAACTTAGATTATCTTATATAAGCCCAAGAGATTTTTCGACGTCATGAACTAACGACTCCCATGCTGCCACTTCCATCTTACTATTACTCTAAACCCTAATCAACATTTACATCTCTCCTGCAGGTTTAATGGAAATAATGGTGGAAACAGACAGTATTACTAAATACGGGAACCCAATGACTGCTTATTAAGTTTAGAAATACAGAAATCCGATATATATCAGTCGAAAATTACATCGTTTACTGGCCTAAAGCTGTTCCCAACTCATTCGTGCTTGAATCATACATGATGCTACATAGTGAATTCATATGGCTTGAGGATCCAATAGACATTCCCGGAAAGTTGAATTAAATGGAAAAACTCTTAAGTTGGAAGATAAGCGGTACACTAGATTTTGGCAGGTGGAATTTTTCACAAAAGCCATTAATTTAGGCTAAACAAAATATTACAGTAATTATTTTCACAAACAAAAAATATTACAATCAGATTAGCAACTGTATTCGTTCGATTCTGTGCACTGGTGATGTCACGGCATAAATAATAGGTGTGCACTCTAATTCACGTCATCTGATCTCAGCTAACTATGGAGCCAATAGAATTGGCAAGAGGAATTGAAGAGGAAGTTCAAAAAGGAAACCAGAAACCTCGGCCCTGTACCATCATTAACTGTGCCACAGTATCGTCTGACAAAATATCAATCGCCTTGTAGACAATAAAGTTGACGAATGTTTCCGGAAGCTGTCACAATAGAAAACAAATTATTAGCATCATCTGCTTAACTTCCTCTTGACAAAAACTACAGCAGCAAGCTCTATACCACACTTTCCCTTGGATAAAATACACAGCTCATCGTTTGTCTGCTGATAGAGACAAACTTAGGTTTCCTTATATATTAATATTAATATTAATATTAACTCCTCTATCTTAACTATCTCCCATCAGCAGCTAGCATTGAGAAAATATTCGGTGTAAAATATCTGAAACCTATGTTATTTGTTATAAAAATGAATGTATGTATGCTTAAATTGGGGGAACGTAGAAAGGAGATTCACGCTAAATCTGTACAACTGGATGCAGGCGTTCCTTCACGCAGAAGAAAATTAAATTCATCAGCAGTCATATGATAATTAATAAATAATGGAACCTCGATATTGAAAACTGCTCAATCATATAGTTTACTAAATATAAGAAACTATAGTTGCTTGACTAAAACTTAAATAGATTAATTATGACTTGTTTGTGACGTTAAACAATATCTCATACCAAGCACAGGAGGACACAACAAAAAAGGCCAACGCGGCAATCCCATATCAATTTTAAAAAGTGTAAAATTCTGTGGTACCCATGGCTCATGCCCAATAGCAGTAATATTGACAATTGCGTGATTGTTTAATGAAATTCACTATTGAATTCAGTGGTCAAAATATTGTACGAGGTTCCACAATAAAAAGGTATCAGAAAAATCTCCACAAAACATTTGCCAGAGAAATCATCAGCTTAGTATCTAATTAGTCCAAGTTTCAACTTCAAGGACAAACCAAAAAAAAATAATTGCTTAAGTGGGAAGGAAGACAGAGTGTTCATTGTAGAGGTGAAACTCAAAATATGTTAGAATAAAAGTTAATAATAGAAAAGAATGATAGTTACCGTATAACCAGTCCTTGAAGTACACATGGAGTGCAGATGACAATTCTCGTTTACGACTGTCTTTCAAAGTTGCTTCTCGTAAGAGTTGCCTTATCTCCCCTAAATTATTTTGCTGCAGAGAAGATACAATTTCATCCAAATTAAAGCATAATTCACTTAAAATACAGCTTTTTAAAGTTTGATCACCAAAAAAATTGGAAATTCAATCATTAATATATTAAATATTACAACCATACATACATTTTTATGCTGAGATGCCATATAAGCATCCGGTAATGGGAACGGGTTGACCTTCGTAGATCCATTTGACTCTCCTCCAAGCCAACTTGGAATCTGCATGCCAACAATATGGACCAAAAACAAAGTATATGATCAAATAAAGAAGGAATATGAACCTTGAACATTCTTCATCCCTAAGAACTTACAAAACAAAAACAAGATGCCAGCCCATAGTGAATATATTGAAATTCATTAATTAAAATAAAAGTTTAAATTAATTTATAGGTTCCTATACATCAAAAGTATGTAATTAAGTTTATGAAGTTTTAAATCATATTTAATTGGGTCTCTAACCACATTTATGTCAGAGTTCTTTTATGTAAAGGGACTAAGTGAAAAATTTTAAAACAGCTTAGGGACTTGCTAAATAATTAAATTAGTGACTTGGTCCTTGAACTATTTGAAAATTTTCAACTTGCTAAATAATTAAACTAGTGACTTGGTCCTTGAACTACTTCAAAATTTTCAATAAGATCTCTATACTCGATAGAACTCTAACGAAAATGTGGCCACAGACTCAATTAAAAGTGATCTAAAAGTATCAAGAGATAATTAAAAATTTCCAAAATATAGGGACATTTAAAATTATCCAAATAGTATGCGGAGTTACAAATTAATTTAACCAAAATAAAAATATTCACTTTCTCTACAAGTCAGAATAAAAAAATAACACCCATACCACAAAATTAGTGAACTGATCAGGGTCCACTCGTATAGCAGACTCAGCTTGAACATCAGAGATACCTGCTGGATGAGATAATGAATCATGGGGATCCATCATGCCCAATGCTAGGGTTTCATCCCATCGGTTCACCGTGGGCACAATTCCAACTTCATTCATGTGCTCCTCCAATTGGGAGTAAAAAGTATTATAGGGAGCCACCTGTTAACATTGTGAGGACAAAGCTTTCACATAATGAATCCAGTTGAAAAGAGTGAGGATTTTAAAGAAAACTACACATACATTATAAGAAACTAGTACAACTAGAAGAAGCAAAAGTGTGAAAAGAAAAAAAAAAAAAAGACATTTTGTACGAGGCCGCAGACCAAACATCATAATACCTTTTTTCGTAAATCAAATGCCGCATTTTCATAGATCTTAAACAATTGTTAAGAAATCTGTTACTAAATTTTGAAGATAACTCAGATGCTTGCTCTTGCACAGCATCAAATATACTAATCTTAGAAAACTTTTATGAGTTTATTCATTTCATCACTTAAAACAGAGTTAACCTTTTGGCCTTTTTCTCTACTTATATTAACCCCACCTAATCAATGGTACATGTGCCCCGAGTTTTATAACTTGCAAAACCAAACACCAGTATTTAATGACAAATAAAACTAAAAAGTAAAATAGATATAGTTGCCCAATATTTTCAGTTATTTTATTAATTCTTTCCTCCATTTTTAGGATAATAACAATGCCAAATGACATTTTAATGATTAAGACATTATTTCTTTGAAATTCTGCCATCTCTGACACTAACTCTGGAAACTGTATAAGCAGGAACCAAAAAGAAAATGGTATATGTTGCAAAATATTCTGATTTCCTTTCCTATTTTTCTCTCTTTCCTTATTTATGTAATTAGTATAATTTCTCTCTTTTCTTATTTATGTAATTAGCATAATTGGGTATGATTGATATCCATGATTTTAGCATAGAATTAATTACCATACTTATATAAA